GAAATTGCAACTGTTATTAGTTTTGAATGCCTGAAATACTTTGCAATTGCTCGAATTCGAGCAACAGCTGCACTCGTAAAACAATATTACGCTATGGAAGGTTGTACTCATCATCCAATTTTTACAGCAGTCAGCTGTTGACATGCTAGGGCAAAGGCGAGCGCCGAGCGCGCACATCGATATATAAACACAACATGTTTGTTATATATCGATGAGCGGGCAAGGGCGGTCCCAGGGGGGGGGGTCATGACCCCCCCAAAATATTTTTTATATACATAAACTATTATACCAGGGAAACATTAATAATTTTTATTGCAAATCGTTTTACGAAATTCAAATTCGTTGTAGTCTTTACACTTGTAGCGAACGAAAGGACTAATTACAAAGTCTAACCTAAAACTTTGGATCGTTCAAGTCTGACTATGCTTTTGTACGTTATGAAAAGTAGGGAAGATAGGCAGACAACGGACGCTTTCAGCCACATATGGCAACAACAGTGTCCGATGCTGACGTTCGACGTTCGGCTGCATTCTTCTTCTTATTTAATTTTTCGGCATTTAATGTTATAATTCATTTTAACCCAGATGATTGAAAACTTGAATTGGGTATTGGATAAAGAAAAGAAGTTGTATCAATAGTAAAAGTTTGAAAGATAGTTGAATATTAATTTATCTGAGTTCAGCGTTAGGAAATTGTAATTACAGTAATTACATTCAATGATATTCAATGTAACCGTATTCAATGATAACCGTAGCAAATTTCAAATTTTTCAATATTAAATAGTATTCATATTTAGAGCACCTGATATCATACATAAGAATAACACAACCCAATATGCATGTTGCTAGCCACAAAACAACAACAAAATGGTAGTGAGGTAGTGTCTCAGACTTAGATGCGGAAGGGACGGATTTAATTCCCGGCACAACCACAAAAACGTTGCACAAAATCTTTATTCCCACGTTGACCCCTTGTAAAATGCCACTGGCAATGGCGTAGAAAAAAATGAGAGCACTGAGAACCAATTCTTCAGGCGGTAGCAGTGACGGGACGCCGACGCAACGTTAGTTGGGTAGTGTACTTTGTGTAGGTTAACTGTTGCTTACTGGGCAGGTAAAATGCAGTCGTGTTTGGTGCAAGTTCTTAAACACTTCTTAGATAAAATAAGTTCTCTTTTTTGAAATCTTGGTCTGATTTTGGATATTTTCTGTTTAGCATGCACATCGGCACCAGTTGAAAGGGTGTTTTCGTAAATCAATATAATGCTTGAATGTGTTGTAATATTGCGGCATTCCTTTGTTATTAAAACCACAAGTCTCAATAATGCAAAAACATGACATTATACAAGTTTATTTTTAGACATTTCTTTGACCTTTAAATAAACTGGGAAGGTTGAACACATTATTAAACTAGGTCCTCAAAATAGCTTAAAAACCACTCATTTTACTCCCCAGGCCCCCCGGTGACCCCCCGCCCCAAAATATATGTCTAGGACCGCCCTTGCGAGCGCGCGAGCGAGGACGGGGAAACAGCTGATTTCCTGTTGTTCCGTTGTTCCATAGTTAGTGACAGTAGTAGTTAATATGTTTATAACATATGGTAATTGTTCTACATATGTTTTGTGTTATTGTTTTTATATTTTGATTGAGTTTTTGTTAAATTAGAAATAAACAACCTTTCTTGAGTTCAGTACAATTATTTAATAATTAATCTAATGACATGGTGCCGAAACCCACACGGAATAGAAATAAGAGGTATGACTTTAAGGAAGATGATGATATCCATACAAACCATACAGAAGACAAAGATAATAATGGAAAACCACCAAAATGTCTTGTGGTTTCAAGTACTCAGATGGCTCCTTCTTGGAAGAAATGGAAGCAACAGTGGAACTGGTACTACACAGCTTCTGGCCTTGATAGGAAATCCAATGCAGTACAGGTAGCATCATTTATGTCTAGTTTAGGCCCAGATGTTATAGATATATATAACAGTTTTGGTTTCATGGATGATGAAGATATTGAATTAGATGAAGTTGTTCAACGATTTGATAAGTTTTTTGTTGGTGAATCTAATGAAGTATTTGAGAAATTTTTGTTCAACAAAATTACACAAGAAACCCATCAAAGTTTTGAAGATTTTTTTACAAAATTGGTTAACCATGCTAATTCTTGTAATTTTGAGCAACTAAAAAACAGTTTGATAAGAGATAGAATAGTTATTGGCATATCAGATTCTAGCTTAAGGGAAAAGCTACTTTCTACTGATAAGCTTACCCTAGATGATGCAATTAGTAAGTGTAGGGCACATGAACAAGCTAAGAAACAACTAGCAGAAATAGCCTCTGACAGCCCTACAAATGTTAATGTCGTTAAAAGGGACGATTCCTTTTCTAGGCCTACGTTACAAAATTCAGTCTTTGACTGTAAACGTTGTGGTTTACAACACTCTAGAGGCCAATGTCCAGCTTTTAATCGAACTTGCAATCAATGCTTGACTAAAGGTCATTTTGCTAAGATGTGTAAAACTCGAAAGAATCTCCCTAGTAAGAGTAAAAATACTGATATTTTAGAGGTTGTAGAGATTGAAGATTCTGATTATCCGTTGCATGTTGATTGCATCTCTAACCCAGTCAACAATCAAGATTGGACAGAATTATTAGAATTGCCAAATAACAAAACTGTGCAGTTTAAATTAGATACTGGGGCTCAGTGCAATGTTATTTCCCATGATTTGGCACTAGCTTGTAATCTGAAAATTGTACCTTCTGCAACTAAATGCCTTGTTTCTTTTAACAACCAAAAAACGCCAGTTTTTGGTGAAGCCATTTGTCCAGTTGTAACCAAAAAGTCTCATAAAGACACTGTCTTGTTTGTAATAGTTCCAAATGGGCATCAATCAATATTAGGAAGAGTATCATGTGAAACCCTAGGGTTCGTAAAACGGATTGCTGGTATAATTGATCAGTCTATAAGTCGATTATATGATGGAATAGGGTGTTTAAAGTCTTTTGAGTATGATATTGATCTTGTGGAAAATCCTAGTTTCAAAATACACCCACCCAGGCGAATACCCCATCCAATACGTGACGCAGTGAAAGCAGAAATAGACCAAATGGTAAAAGACAAGATTATTACTCCGGTAAGTGAGCCTACTCCTTGTGTGTCTCCTATGGTCATAGTCCAACAAAGAGACAAAATACGTCTATGCATTGACCCAACTGATCTTAACAAAAATGTGAAGCGTAGACATTACCCATTGGCTACATTAGTGGACATCTCAGCTAGATTGAATGGTTCTACTTTATTCACCATCCTTGACTGTAAAAAAGGATTCTGGCAGATAAAAGTTACGAAGAGAACATCCAAACTACTAACTTTTTCAACACCTTGGGGGCGCTACTCTTGTTTACGCATGCCCTTTGGTTTGGTATCGGCCCCTGAAGTGTTCCAGTATATTATGTCAGACTTGCTCAAAGAAATTAAGAATGTAGAGTATTCAATGGATGATATACTCATTCACAGTAACAATGAAAGAGACTTGCAAAAGATCACGAATGAAGTAATGACAAAGCTGAGTGAATCAGGACTTACACTTAACAAAGAAAAGTGCATATTTGCCTATAGACAGTTCGTACAGTTTCTGCAGTTTTTTAATACGGACAAAATAATGAGAGCATTCTATTGGCTGAGGGAACACCATTACCGCAACGATACGGTTTGGAGCCATCGGCCTCGGTGGTCTAATTGATAACGTGCGGTGCTGAGAAACTGGGGTAGCCAGTTCGAATCACATTGGTGGAATTAACTTTTTGTCTAATATTTTTTTTCATTTTCAGCAAGTTTGGTTTGGTCATGACTGTTTAATTTTATAATTAAAACAGTATAAAATTGATTTCGAGCTATTTATAGTTAGTTTTATTTTATGAAAATATTATTTTTTTCGATTATTAAACCTTCATTCTATTTGTTCATTATCAGCAAGTTTGGTTAGGTTATGACAGTTTAATTTTATAATTAAAAATCATAAAATTGAATCCGAGGCATTTATAATTTTATTTTATATGAACAGAACTATTGTTTTCGATTAGTAGGCCTAAACCTTCATTCGAATTTTTCTTTATCAGTAAGTTTGGTTAGTTAGGTTAGGTTATGACAGTTCAATTTTATAACCAAATATTATATTTATATTTTTTCTTAGTTTTATCATTAAAATTTGTTTTATAATTTCTCATTTTTTAACTCTCATATTGTCCGTATTTAAAAACTGCAGCTGAAATAAAAATTGTGCTTCCCCCGCTCAAACTTGTAAACAGTTTGTCAAACTTGTAAGGTAAACTTCGAGAAAATACCTCACAACCAACATGGACGGTAGACATGAAAAACAACCTTCTGATTTTACAATGGGGCGAGAAGTCTACTTTTGTTGGTTAGTCTACGGTAATATCAAATTTTGTAAATGATTAGTCTTTCGGCCAAAATAGTTTTGAAATTGATCAAATGTCAAGAAATAAAGTAAACTTCTTGATTCATGAAAAAACAAAACGCCTTCTACTTTAACTGGTCAGAACCATTGATTATATTATCTTTCTTGCTTATATGTATACATTATATAAATACATAATCAATGACAGAACTGACCTTAAAACTAACTTCACTTCAGCTGATCCAAATATAGTGAATTTATAAACGAGTATGAAATTATAGATTCAATCAATGTTTCAAATTATTGTAGGTGATCTAAATGCATACATTAATATGGTCACAATTTCAGATTAAAGTATTAAACATTAACCATATTGCATTTAACATGCAATAATAGCTAAAAATTAACTAAGGATTGTAATGTGGTGTTTAATATAACTACAAATACTTTATATAATACTGAAAATCATTAAACATTAACATCTTTTTACAGTATGCTTTAAGCTTTTGGTGTCTTTTTTATTGGCCTTGTCTCATCCAAATGTCAAGCAAAGCATCGTCGTCTTGGGCTGAGGTCTTGTACATTGCAGGCAGACGACAAATGTCGACAGCCCTTAATTAGGAAGTAGAAAAAGTTATATTTTATATTATTTTAGATTTTTATATTTGTCATCTAAAAAGATTAACTAGAAAGGTGAGTACAGTTAGTTTTTCATTTCCATAACTGTGAGTGGATCCTTCTGTATACCATTTTAGTTTTGGATTTTAAATACCATTTATTAAATAGGCCTACCATAATTATTGAAAAGTAAGTTTAAAGGTAGACAATGTTTTCTTTTGTTTAATTTGAATCATCAACGCTTTAATTATACTTTATAACAATTTGAACAGCGAGGTTTACTTTAGGATGATTTTATAATGCTTTAATTTACATAATGTATCATTAAGAACCTAGGGGACTCAATTTGCCTCAGGCTAGGGACTTACTTTTGTAAGTTAGATAGGCCTATTGAACGAATTTAATTTTGACAGAAGATTTTTTAAATATTCATCCATACACATTTGAATCCAACTGGTTATAAGCTATTAATTAACACGTACGCTACCTGTCACCACATAGGCTATTTGCGACGCCAAAGTCATTGCCATGGCCCGTGGTATATATACATTTTAATATTACTCATAGACCAGGTGTCACTTGGTTAACAGTAGGCCTACACACATACTGCGGGCCAGTTATGCAGCCAAGTAAAAATCAGTTTTTCCAACCATCATATGACGTCACTAATCATCATAACATGTCATTATAACTTAAGCCGCAGACCAAGTGATGCACATATGTGACATACATCACTGTAGACCGCTGCAGAGAATTTGGGGCCCTTCAAATAGACTGTTACGAAGATAAGCTTGTTTTAATAACATTGGGTAACACAAAAATTGGTGACATTAGTCTATTTAAATGTGACCAGCTGTCGCATATATGCAGTCTATGGATAGAAACCAGCTGTGGCATATGTGTGTTGCTGGTCCATATGAATGAAAAATGTAGTACTATTGCGGTAGCGAACATGTTAAAGAAATAAAAGAGATAGGCTCAATAGTATGTATTAGTTTTACACCGTAAGTTTATAATTATCATTGCCCCTTGACAACCCAAACTGTGTGATAGGTGGCAATCCCACCCAGGCTGGGAACCACTACCTGAGACAATCTGGAAATAGCTTAGCATTTGACAATCGACGACAAAAAAACTATCTTTTCTCTAACATATCTTAAACTTTCTTCCTACACAATTATCATCCTTTAAAGAAAATTGTTCTAATTAATTAAAAGGACCTATTAAATTTTTAAAATGTACAATTGGCCTAGCAGTTAATATTTTTTAAAGTGTTACATTAAATTAACCTTTGTTAAATTAAGTTATTCTGTAGCATTACTAAGTTATTGTAAGGTTAGTCGGTAGCGCCATGAACTTTGGGCCCAAGGCAGCGATTTTGTGGGTTCAAATCCTAGTAGGCCTACCTGCCACTACTTCTTATCAGTCACTTCACCCTTGTACTGTACCGGCTCACCTTAGTCATATGTACAGGCAAATGTAAGGTTAAAAAAGCAGCCAACTTCTAAAAAAAATGTTATTTTATTTAAAATATTTGGTTTCAGACTGATCTTTGATTGATGCGTAGCAGCCGCAACAATAGGTAGAAGACGTGCAAGGGCTAGCATGGCGCGCGCAGCTCCCAACAACAATTTGTCCACCTACAAGTTGGTGGTGGTCGGAGACGGAGGTGTTGGCAAAAGTGCAATCACCATCCAGTTTTTCCAAAAGCTATTTGTTACCGATTACGACCCGACTATTGAAGACAGCTACATTCAACACATAGAAGTGGATGGTCAAATGTGTATATTAGATGGTGAGTATTTGTAAATGGGTATCACCAATTGAAAAATATCTTCACCTTTAGTTTAGACTGCAGAAATAAGTTTTTAATCAATCTTAACTAAGTAAAAAACAAAAAAACCTATTTTTTTTCTCAGTCACTTCAGTTTGAGCTCAAGGTAAATAAGTTACACTGCTCATGATATTTTAAGTTTTTAATGAGTCTGATCCATTAAGCTCGTGACAGAAATAAGGTAGGTCGTTTAGGTGAGAAGAGCATTTTTATACAGGGTGATTTGTACTCAGCGTGACAAATTTTTTTTTATGTAAGTGCAAAGTAAATGAAGTGTGATGATGCATATCAAATGTTCCAAGTCTCAAAATTAGTGTCCCAAAAAATTATTTTATGTTTTTAAAAATAACCATGCTTTTAAACTTAATACAGCGATTTCTCAATTACCTGTGTATGGATTTGAGTAGATAATGTCATTTTCAAGTTCTACATTAAAAAATTTGTCACACTGAGTACAAATCACCCTGTATTTGAGCCTCCACCAGAAGCATGAAAGGTGGTAGAGGTCGTGTGTTTCCTGGTGAAGCCTGGGGGTAGGGTTGAAGCCCATACAAAACCGGTTTAGAGCCACTCTAACCACCCACCCTCCAGGCTTCACCAGGAAACGCACGAACTCTAGCTACCTACACATAAGTGGCAACACTGCAGCCTACTACTGAAACAGCTGTTGCACTAATACATTCTGCCCAATATATTATCACTAGCTGTAACCCGCGGGCTTTGCCCCGTTAAACTTCTTAATTTTCAAGATTATCTCGTTTGCATGGCTCAATCACGTCCTGGTTGAAGTTTGTTCGCTACGCTCACTCACCTTTAGGTTGGAGCTTGTTCGCTACGCTCACTCACCTTTAGGTTGGAGCTTGTTCGCTACGCTCACTCACCTTTAGGTTGGAGCTCGTTCGCTGCGCTCACTTGCCTTCAGGTTAGCTCGTTCGCTACGCTAACTCGCCTCCAGGTTGAAGTTCGTTCGCTACGCTCACTCACCTTTTGGTTACAAATTAGCTGTTGTCATAAATGTAAAAGAAATAATAGTGCTGCACCCTGTTCTTAATCCTTGTAACTTTAATGCTATTGAACATCATAGAAAAGAACCAACTTGTTTAATTGAAACAGCTGTTAAGATTCAATAATTCCATTTCTCATAAGGTTAATATGGGAAACTCCAGAGCCACTGGGGCAGAGCCCGAAAGGATTTTTGAAATAATAATATGCCTATATGTGAATCGGGAATGTGAGCTATCATCATGCCAAATTTCAGACCAATCCGAACAGTATTTTTCGCGTTCACTTGTCACAAACATACATCCATACATCCATACATCCAAACTTTCTCATTTATAATATTATATATATACTAGCTGACCCGGCGAACTTCGTATCGCCTAAGTTTTCCCCTAAGACAGACCGATGGAAAGAAAGTACCGTTACGTTTAATTTTCAAGATGATCTCGTTCGCATCGCTCAATCACGTCCTGGTTGAAGTTCGTTCGCTACGCTCACTCACCTTTGGGTTGGAGCTCATTCGCTACGCTCACTCACCTTTAGGTTGGAGCTCGTTCGCTGCGCTCACTTGCCTTCAGGTTAGCTCGTTCGCTACGCTAACTCGCCTCCAGGTTGAAGTTCGTTCGCTACGCTCACTCACCTTTGGGTTGGAGCTCGTTCGCTACGCTCACTCACCTTTAGGTTGGAGCTCGTTCGCTGCGCTCACTTGCCTTCAGGTTAGCTCGTTCGCTACGCTAACTCGCCTCCAGGTTGAAGTTCGTTCGCTACGCTCACTCACCTTTTGGTTGCAAATTAGCTGTTGTCATTGATGTATAAGAAATAATAGTGCTGCACCCTGTTGGTAATCCTTGTAACTTTAATGCTATTGAACATCATAGAACAGAACCAACTTGTTTAATTGAAACAGCTGTTAAGATTCATTAATTCCATTTCTCATAAGGTTAACATGGGAAACTCCAGAGCCACTGGGGCGGAGCCCTTTTAAGAATTTCGAAACGGGAAATAGTTTACGTCCGATTCGCATACCTACAGAATTTACACACCAAATTTCATAACGATCGGTGAAGTCGTTCCGGAGGAGTTTGCAGACAAACACTGTGACACGAGAATTTTATATATTAGATATATATATATATATATATATATATATTATTAAAGTAGGATGTTTACTTACATGTTATTCCTGTTATCATCATGGGAATAAGCCGGCCGGTGCCAACACTATTCATAACGATCGGTGAAGTCGTTCCGGAGGAGTTTGCAGACAAACACTGTGACACGAGTATTTTATATATTAGATATATATATATATATATATATATATATATTATTAAAGTAGGATGTTTACTTACATGTTATTCCTGTTATCATCATGGGAATAAGCCGGCCGGTGCCAACACTATGGCCTTGTATACAGCAGTCTATTTATGCCAAACAAAAGCCATACAACAAAATAATGTTTGTCCCTTTGAATATAAAAATTTAAAAACTATACTTGGTAGATCATTATTATACTTTTTTTATAACATTATTAAAAACCTTTACAGTGCTAGATACAGCTGGGCAAGAAGAGTTCAGTGCAATGCGAGAACAGTATATGAGGAAAGGCGATGGCTTCATGTTGGTTTATTCTGTAACTGATGAGCAAAGTTACGAAAATATAGTAAATTTCCACACACAGATTCTCCGAGTAAAAGACAGGTAAGTGTAATATGCTTACTGCTTATGCATATTAGGCTATTGTCAGCTAACTATAGGCCTATCTGGGACCACTGCACTGTTAGAGGTTATCAGTAGCCTTAAACACTTTAAAATAACAGTTGATTAAACCTAAAAAAACCTGATAAAAAAAGGTCTGGGTATTTGTTCCGGTCGAATGCTAAATCTACTGAAAAAATTTGTCGGAAATTTCACGCAAAGGTAGATGATGGACCCGGTCCACCTAAGTTAGACCAATTCATGTCTTTAAAATCCCTTTGAGATACTGCTGTATGCTTTGTGGTGATGTAAAGTGCAAATTTTAGCCAATAAGGTAGACCTCGTACATTTACGCAAGGTGTCTAAGGACCATGGTCGTGAGCTGGCGCAGAGACTGATCATCCCAGCTTAGACATGTTTTTCTACATGTTTACCCTCTTTCGCAGAGATACCTACCCGATGCTCCTGGTAGCTAATAAGGTAGACCTCGTACATCTACGCAAGGTGTCTGAGGACCATGGTCGTGAGCTGGCGCAGAGACTGAGCGTCCCAGCCTACATAGAGACTAGCGCTAAGGACCCTCCACTCAACATTGACACTGCCTTCCAGGAGGTAAAAGCTCTTAAAGTTATATGCTTACTTGAACTTCAATGTTGTTATTGCTACCTCAAAAATTGCAATTGAAATGGGTATGCAGACAGGTGTATTCATGCCAAGAGTGTCAATCAAAGATGTGTGTTATAGGTGAGATGCTCATTGTAAGTAGCGTATCCAGGGGGGGGGGGTGTTATTTGGTGTTTGATCCCCCCCTCCTTTGACCTCAAAAACAATAAAATTGACATTTAAAATTGTTTCTACAATTAAAAAACCTGTTTTATGTGTCTCTAAATAGCCTAAAAACTTAAGTTTATTGGTATAATTTTCAGACATTTTCCAGGAGAGCGCCCCTTGGTGTAACCCCCCCCCCCTTAGGATCATCTTAGTTACTCCTATGCTCATTTTAGCTTTATTAATGGATAAGAACCACCTGGGTTTTGTATTTAACCACGGCCACTTATTTTTAGTACTTAGGCCTATGGTGGTAGTTGCGTTTAGGATGGTATATAGATTTGGTTTTTGTTTTATCCGTAGTTAGTTTATGTTTTTTTTTTGTTTTTTTTATGAATTAAATTACCATACACTTAGCGTATATTTTAGCCAAAGCCACAGTAATGATCATTTTCTTTGTGCAAGGTATGCTATTAGTTAAGGTAGTTTCATGTTGTTACTGGGATAATTGCAGGTAAAACTTTAATTTCAATAAAATGTTTGTAACAAATGTATGCAATAATCGTAGACAAATAACAATAAAATCAGTTAATATTTATTTCCAACCACTCATAACTATGTAAAGTTTGTCTTGTATGGATTGGATGCTAATGGAAAAGCAGTACCAAATTTATGGGTTTGATCCATAAATTTGGTGTGGTAATATTACCATAATGTCGTCATGAATATAATCCAGCAATCGTAAAGACTTTAATAATCATCGTCTCCCTTGTTTAAAGCAAAATCTTGAACATCTCCCGTGATCATGAAGGCATTATCATTTTATCCAGCAAAATCATATACATCTCCTGCAATGTATATCATCTTCAATGTCTCCACTGAGTGCAAGAACATCTTGAAACATCTGCCATGATTGGGGAGATGTCATCATTGTTGCTCACGATCGCAGCAAAATCTCAAGCTGTAACGATCATGAAGACATTATCATTGACTCCAGCAAACGTGGTGATATTAACAGCATCGCTCACGGTGACGGGGACATCATAATTGTCGCCCACAGTCAAAGCAAAATCCTAAATATGTAACAGTGTCTCTTTTACATTCGCATGTATTCGATAGCCGCGGCAAAATTATGAATATGTAGTGCGCTCAAACAGAAACGTTTTCATAACCCTCTATAGCGTGCTCCCGACACGCTTACCTTTTTTTTTGTTATGTGGCAGCTAGATTTTTTTGTGCCAGCACTGCATTCTGCCATAGCTGTAAAATGATTTTGTGGGCTGTTTTGGTTAAGGTCGATTCACACATATCAGTCCAGTCACAGTTGCATCCGCAATTTCTCAGTCAAACTGTCAGTCATTGGTTGCAGTCACTCTTCCACCACTTTATTTACAGTGTTGTTACAGTCAAAAATGTTTAATTAAAACACAATATTCTATCAAATGTTCATCGTCCGTCTTGTTGATTGTTACAAACATTACTTAAAATATAAACTTGATCATTTAAATAAAAAGTACTTTTTTCTAATCTCAAACACGTCCGTCAGGCGTCCGAACAATCCAAAGATATCGGTGAAAAGAAATCTGCAATTGTCTGACGGATGCCGGCAGAGCGACTGACTGAACTGCAATGGGTGAGTGTAGATAGCGCCATAGAAAATCCATTAACGAATATTTTTGTTAACTGTTACGTGTCTGATGTGACTGGAGCTGCTGTAACTGATGTGTGTGAATCGACCTTTAATCAGTATTTCTGTTAAAAGGTTTTTAGTTAATAGAGGTTCTACTGTATAGGCCCCCTAATATCATTTGTATACTTAAATTCTGACACTACTAGTTTATTATGCTCATTTGCTGTTTTGACTACTTTTATATATTGTATTTTTTCCTTGATTCATTTCTAGTCCTCCATTCATTGCTTCTCCAATATCAGTATTTGGCCCATGATCATACACAAAATGAGTTCCATGCTGTCATAGTTATTAGACCAGCCTCACCTCCCTAATAGAGTTTTGTTAACAGGCTTGGATGCCAAAAAAGGTAAACTGAATCACAACCCTTACACATAGGCAATATTCCTGTCGTCACATTCACAGCTGATTTTAAATGTTCGGATTTCAGATTGTGAGAATAATAAGAAATCAGCCCCCGGCAGAGGCAGAGAAAAACCGCCATCGTCGCCGATCCAAAAAATGTGTGTTGATGTAAAGGGAATGTAACCTACTTCCGATTCTTCAAAAACCTACAAGTCTGTCGGTATGGTATTCTTATAATGTTTTTACGTAAGAAACTGTATAAGGATTCATCATCAAAATGAGCTTTAACGCCCATTGAGAGTTTGATAATCTGCTTCTTGTAAGCCTACTATATTTGCCCATATTTATACTGTTTTTATTTCTTTGTGACATTTTCTTTACATTTATTATTGTACACTTTTCTTATTTTAACCATCACCAGATGGTGAAATATATTTTGTTACTCAGTTGCTATCAAATCAGTAATATATAGGCCTACAGTTGTAACAACTGTTTCTGTCATGCATTTTACTGTACAAAAATTGAATTGTAAATGCTTTCTAGTCAATAGTTGATCCAACAAGAATTTTATTGTTTGTTGTCCATTGATAGTCAGACTTTCTAGTCTCATTTATACAATAAGGGTTGTGTTAGAGTGACTTTATTATAGCCTATTTGAGGAAGTGTGAAAAATGGTGGGAATTCAATAGTTTATTATTTTCTAATTTTAACAGTATTTACAAACTTCAAATTTGTTGTTTATTTTAATCTGTTGAGGTGATTTAAGAATTAATGAATAATAGAAATATACAGTAGAATCCTTTAGTTTAATGAATGCAATATAAACCAATTAATTACATTAAAAAATCCATCAACCAAAGATTGAATTTAAGTGTTGTCATTTACGACTTAATATGGGTTTGTGAGTTTAATATTAGCTAACTGCCCTTTGTTTGGTTTTAATAAAACCTAATGCCTAAGCCCACATTCATGATGAAATATTCCATAAAATTAATGCAAGATTCTATGACTCCACTACAGAGAAGTAAGATAAAGAGGAATCATTCAGTGGTATACTTAAATGGTGTCTAGCTCTAGTTGCTGGTGTCTAGCACTAGTTGCTGTTGTCTAGCACTAGTTGCTGTTGTCTAGCACTAGTTGCTGTTGTCTAGCACTAGATGCTGGTGTCTAGCACTAGATGCTGGTGTCTAGCACTAGTTGCTGGTGTCTAGCACTAGTTGCTGTTGTCTAGCACTAGATGCTGGTGTCTAGCACTAGTTGTTGTTGCCCTAGATGCTGGTGTCTAGCACTAGTTGCTGTTGTCTAGCACTAGATGCTGGTGTCTAGCACTAGATGCTGGTGTCTAGCACTAGATGCTGGTGTCTAGCACTAGTTGCTGGTGTCTAGGGCAAAGTCCAACACCGCCCCTCTCGCCATCATGTACTACAACGATCACGGAATTACCTCAGGGTACTTGCTTCCTAGTTCCTCACAAGTATATTTCCGGTACAACATAATAGACCTGAAAGCACACAGTCTTCCTAAGCAAGTTTCCTCTTTACCTTACTTCTCCGTGCTTATAATAACCTTTTCTTTGAGGTTTACGGATTAGCAGGAAACTGGATTATGCGGTGGCCCTAATGTTCCTACTCATTAATATATTTTTACATTTAAAAATCACTATTTTTAAACAGAATGGTTTTTAACCTTACAAATTTTGCATTTATTTACGTATTGTTTAAATTTTTTATTCCATATACAATTTTAGCCAAACATTTTTAACTTCTTTGTCAACTCATGTTATGAATGTGTTTATTCATTATAGGGTAATGTAATGTACGTACTGTTAAATTGTCCATTATCTGTCTATTTGGTGAAGGGAGAATAATGCTAACATGATGCAAGAAATGTAGGAAACATTAAGGATAATTTTTTATTTTCCATAAGCTTGGGGCTTCATAGAGAAGTAATAAATACACTAAATACAGATTACTCGTCAGAGCAAGTTGGATCACAAATATCATCATTGATTGTGTTTCTCCTATCAATCAAAAGTGTATGACTTTTACCGATTTCTGTTAAGTACATTTGTTACACCTACCGGTTTTGAAACGAGACGCGAGTATGAGGTACTATTTTATGAATATTTACTCTGTATTTGTTACATCTTTGTGGGGCCTTTAAGGCCAGATGCTGTGTATGCTGTGTTATTAAGTGCGTTCATAGTGGAGCTGTGATAAACGAAACGATGAGAGCAGGGATGTTGGTAAATTAGTTCTGTTGTTATAAGTAGCGCTTTGCTTCTATTGGAACAGACCACAGACTTAAACAAAAGTACGTCTGTTTCATCTACGCATTGCTAGGATCGGAGCTTGTATCGTTAATCGCAGCTCTGACACGAACACACCCTTATAGTCAAATATTTGTTTAGTTCCTTGAACAATTTTTACTGTGACTTCATATTTTTCATAAAATGTTTCTACCTATAAGAAAGATAAAGATTATTGAATAAGTAAATGAGATCAGTCTGAACAACTTCGGCATTTAAAATATTTTATAGATGTTATTGACTAGTAATTTTTTATCATAACAGTAAATGCTTTATGGTTTGTATAATCTTATTTCCTAATTTTGTAGAAAATGTTGGTTTTAAATTATACTACTAAACCATGTAATTCCAACCCTGTTATTTTGGTTGGTATTGTAATAAGATAAGTATTATTAAATATAAACGCTTTATAATTTCTACAAAACAATAATTTTGTTATGTTAACTTAAATCTATGCTGTGTTTTTATTTTATCAAATATTTTACATTGCCTTTTTGTGAGTCTCTTCAAATGTTTGCAGTGTTTCTGAATTACTTTGATGAAAGGTATGTCAGTTTGTGCTTTTCCAAAACCTTTCTTAGGTGTTTAGACATTTTTAGTTTGGTAAAGCCATGAACCTTCCTACTAAGGAAAATTTACAAAATTTTAGCTATAAAACCCCTTAAAAAACTTGAAATCTAATTTTTACTGTAAACTAATTAATTATCATGACTTTTATAAAAGAAAACCCCCAAAAACAGGAAGATGCCAAATACTATCCCCTGGAAAACCACTTACTCAGGTGAAATGTGACTCACAAAATCTGCCACCTAATCAATATGGGAGCCATGTCTGTGACTGGAATACTACCCAAAATAAAAAAATAAGATGCAAAATAATAGCAAAATAAAAAAAATATCAAAATAAGATGCAATATTGAAATTTTAATTCATATAATTCTGTTTGATAACAGAAAATTTTAATTCATATAATTCTGTTTGATAACAGAATACCCCCGTCGCAGCAAACCTGACAACTAAGCGAATTTCCATTTGTCTGAATTGATTTTCAATTAAATATATTTAAATAACATTATAGGTCGAGTACCTAGGTTTGCTGCTACAAGGAAACTAATAAAGTGTGTTTTTTAGTAAAATATTAATAGCTTAGTACAAAATAAATAAGTTTGCCAAGTTTGATCAAAATATATCCATAAACAACCAAACTACAACATTTTACAATATTCTCCATAAGAATAACATGGGAATTTTAAATTTACAATTTTTTAAATTTTCTCCGTTGCCAATAACCGTACAAAAATACTTTTATATACTAAATTATTTGTTTTTTTAAGCTCTTTAAAAAGGTATAAAGAGAAATTGGGAAACTTTGTGTTTTGAGGGTCAAAAGTGAGAAAAACCAATTTTTACCCCATAAAACCCCCCGTAAAGCCCTGTTCCCATTGTCCGATCATGCTGGTTCGCGAACTCATTCAAGTTTATCCCGCTTTACACCTTTAAACCAAATTTCATCAAAATCGGACAAAAATTACTCAAGTTATCGCGTTCACGGATACATATATATATAAATCTATATATATATATACTAGCTGTACCCACGGGCTTTGCCCCGTTTTACTTCATAAGTGAGCTTGTTCGCATGGCTCAATCACGTCCTGGTTGAAGTTCGTTCGCTACGCTCACTCACCTTCAGGTTGGAGCTCGTTCGCTGGGATCACTTGCCTTCAGGTTAGCTCGTTCGCTATGCTAACTCGCCTCAAGGTTGAAGTTCGTTCACTACGCTCACTCACCTTTTGGTTGCAAATTAGCTGTTGTCATAAATTAAAAAAAAAAACAAATAGAGCTGCACCCTGTTGGTAATCCTTGTAACTTTAATGCTATTGCACATCATAGAACAGAACCAACTTGTTTAATTGAAACAGCTGTTAAGATTCATTAATTCCATTTAAATATGAGTACTCATAAGGTTAACATGGGAAACTCCAGAGCCACTGGGGCAGAGCCCGAGAGTCCGATCAGAATAAAAACAACTTAGTTTTCCTATTTAATGCCTAAAGAATCAGTGTACCAAATTTCAGCCTCCTAGGTAAATGGGAAGTGGGAGAATTAGTGATGAGTGAGTGAGTGAGTCAGTCAGTCAGTCAGTCAGTCAGTCAGTCAGTGAGGGCTTTGCCTTTTATATATATAGATATATACCTATTTATATATATATATATACATATATAAAAATTTGAACGAATGGTGTTTTTGGCCTCTGGGGACATCAAAATGAAAAAGTAAATCGCTCCCGGGCTTAGGTCTTACCATGCCACCTACGGTAATAGCTACTTCCCTATAGGGAAATTCGCTAAAAGGCATGTGAGGAATATCAAACAGAATTTTGGAATCTTACAGCAAGTTTAGTTGGTCAGGTTAGTTTAGACCAGTTTGACAAGGAAACTTGAGTGTCCGTGACTTGAAAACTGCCCCCTCCCCACCCATCTCTGACGTCAGAATTACGTAGGAACCTGCTTGGGGGGTAGTTATCCAGGGGCAGACTTCCGGCGACTCAAAAATGGATCCAACAGACAGTAAACAGTTAAATTTAGATGTTAGCAGAAACCTATTATTTTTCGATACTGAAGTTTTATGACGCATTATAATTCAGAAAGACTTATGCATACTAAGTTACTTACAAATGGCAGCGGGAATTCACTTCTGAAGTGAAGTAAAACATGGTGCTATTTTATTCATCTTTATGTAATTATGTTTTATAAAACGCTTCCTATAGAGGGTATATATACCCACCAATTATATATTTTATGTTAATCGGTCTTTATTTTTGTGTTGGTTGTGAAAATTTTTATTATAGTTCTTACATTCATATAGTTTTTTTTCCTAGAGAGGTATTATTGTACACTTTGTTTTAATTCTTTACATTTTATGATTGTTTTCCTGCGACAGCAAGAGTTTAACTGTTTGTTTATCTATTGCTTATTTATTTTATATTGTTACAACTGTAACATTTTGTTACAATTTGTTTTGTATCACTAACAAACCATGTTCTAGTACAATAAGTAAGGTTTATATATGTACAAAATGTAGTAAACATATATGTTTAATAACAAAATATATAAAATCACTATTTTTATTTGAAGTGTACGTGTAAATATTACGATAAAAGTAATATTTTTGGCCGTGCTTTCTTAAAACTGTATCTTAGTATTACAGTTTAATTTTTTCCTTACGTATTTTTTGTCAACAAGTAAACATGACAAATTAACATTTTTACTCCTAAGCAAAACTTCTTTTTCTTTTTGAAAACACAAACTTGGGACCAATGGTGCGTAAAGAATATTTGGATTTGTTTAATATGGTTACAATTTAAACTACACTAATTTAGTCCAAACAATGGTAACTTCTAATTAAAATCATTCTAATTGAACTCATTTAAAGTTTGTTTTTTTATTGTGATTAAATAGGAGTACTACAATCTAAAATACATAACCCTAACATTGATAAAATTGAAACTACTTAGTATTTACTGATGGTAAAATATAAGTATTGATCTATCTTTTTAAAACCTAACTTATTTTGTGTTATTATTTCACTCTTTGTAAATTGTTTAACACTTTTTGTGGTAAAACCAATTCTCTGTTCATTCTTGAGCAATTTTAAAAACTATTTCCAAGATTATTGAAAGTAAAATTACATGCAAACTTGTCTTATTTTTTTATTAAATGAGTTAATTATGTTAAGTAATGATTGGTTATGCAAATTTTGATTTTGTATATGTCTTAGATCTAAGAAAGTAGTTATACTTCACACTAACCGTGAAAACTATAATTTACGTTGTGTAGAATATGTTGTGTGTTATTGGATATGTAATTTATTGTGATAACTGTTCATAACAATGTTCATACCATTATTTTCAGGTAAATTAATGTATTAGGTTTATTTTGTAACTAAATCACAAATAAACATGTATTCTTGGTCCTTATTCATTTAAGATATATCAAGATTGTAACGTTTTGAATTTGGATTAAAGTGAGATTGATAACAATCAGTTAAGTCTAGGGAATAGTAGAATAGTGTTTTCGTTTATAACCTCTCATTGCCACTGACAGTGATGCAAGGCAACATTGTACCAAACACTAATTGCACCACTCAACAATTAAATTGGCCTGAACAGCTGATTAGTTGTTTGAATCAATACAATTTTACTTCATATTGATGTTCTTTGGTCCAGGATCACTTCTTGAATATTAAAATTGTATAAGACAATTTTATTTCTTACTCTCAATTTTACTTCTTCTCTCTCAATACTTGAACCTCATTGGTCCGTTACCTGTGTTGATATGAGTAAAAGTATGCTGTTATGAAAGTAAACAATGCTGTTATTGGACACTTTTCAATTCCAAGAACTGAACTGAAACGGCTACTTTAAAAAACGCCCCTAGGTAAAAGCATAAACGATAGCCTACCATGAATAAACTGCTAACTGTATACTGGTCCCAATTATACAAGCAAGCAAAATGAAAAATGGTACATTTCAGAGTTGTAGGCTAAGAACTCTATGGACAAAATTACAAATGGTAGAATGCAACATAGATAATGATAAGGCTAACCAAAGGAAAAAAACAAACAAAATAAAAAAATTATCAAATGCAGTGCTGTAGATAAATTATAAAGGCTAAGAACAAACACAATCATGAAGAGGTCTGTTTCCTACATAATTTATGATAAATTACTAAAATTGCAGCAAGGTTTTCAGTTGTTCCTTTCCTGATAGTATTAAGCTCATATAGGCTACATTTAAAGTATATAAAATTTGTATATTTTATAATACATCCTTTTCTCTAATTTTTGAAAAACAAGAAAACTCTTATTGGCTGCCTTCATTGCTAAAGAATTCTTGTAAGAGAGTAAATTTAGATTTCTTGTAAAAATCGTATTAACTAATAACCGATACAATATATTAACTATTCATATTCTGATTAAATTACGTTCGCTGAACATTAGGCGCCCATTGAAATCTATGTCAGTTAGTCTTTGAGTTTTCTTTTCTTTCTTATTAGAAAGATGAAAAGTTCCTTTCCTTATCATTTTATTTATGAATAATGTTAAATAACTAAATCGACACGTGGATTTTAGTAGAATTTAAACGATTTATGCAGCAAAAGGAAAATTCTCTTTTTAATGACTTATCCTAGTCATTTTCTTGATGGGTGAGCTTTGATAGACCATGTTAGGTCGGGGCCACACTTGTAATTTTCAACCAGCGAGACTGCTTTTTCCGTTTTCACGTGCGACGCACGTGAAAACGTTTGACCGTGGCCACACTCGTCTTACGAGATATGTTTTTCGGGCAAACCAGCGAGACTGATAGAGCATGCCACACTGGCAATAAAAATCGTCCGTGTCCGTGATACGCACTTCCCCCCCCTTCCACGCTCTCTGTACAGGTTAAAACTAGAAACGTCCGTGGAAAAAGTTCAGCGAGATAAGATGAGTGTGTTCACTCCCATAAGCCGCAATGCCCCGCGACTAGTTTTACGTGCAACGCCTGTGGGATGTTAGTAGAGAATACACGTGCAATTCCGTTTGTCAGTCTCGCTGGTAAAACCAGTGAGACTGACAAACGCGTTCACGGACGTTTTTACTCTAGTGTGGCCTGCCCCATATACCATAATGTATCTCTCAAACCCACGGGTAACGCCCGTGGAAAAAATTCAGCGAGATAAGATGAGTGTGGCCCCGGCCTTATTTCATAATCACCTATCTAAAACTATTGGCAATTTTAATCCCAGCCTTCAGGATCGAACCCTTAATCACTACACCGCTTAAATAATGGTATGAACATCTAAGTAATTAATGTGCTGGTTGTCTATGGTATAACAATTGGCAATGGTTACAAAGAGCTCAATGTTAGAAATGTGCACAAAAAACAGAGACCCAAGCTTATTATGTGTTTCTGTGTACAAACTAAACTGTGTCAAAATAAAAATATTTGTATTTTTTAGTTACGACTTTTTTTCCACCTGATTTTCTTGTTAGATTTAATGTGTGATTACACAAGTTGTTTGCGTATGCAATTTTCAATCTGAAAATCTGTAATTTAATCTTTTTCACATATGATTTTACTTTCTAAATAATAGTTAAACATTAATTTATACTCATCCATTGGAAGCTCTAATATTTTAAGCTGATATTTTAACCTTCTTAAATTAGAGCCTTTAAAAAAATGTTTTTGAATATTTTGAGACGTGGAGAACTATACAGCTGTTAAATCAAGATTTCCCTTTCAAATTCAAGAAAAGCCCTCATCACTAAAGAAACCTTTTGGTAGATATTTTTTTCTATCATTGCTTATGATATTTTTACTGTTGAAACAACCCGGAGGTTTTTAATATCTCTCGACTTGTTAAGAATGTAATAGGTTTTGCGTTGGAATAAAAAATTAAAAGAAACATTATTACAAAATATAAAGTGTAATACTTTAAGTAGAGTGCTGTAAACTTGTCATGCCTAAAATTACAAATATAATTTGAGTAATAAAGCTGATCATCTAATTCCAGGATAAATAAAAAGAAGAGTTGGAACATTTCTTTGTTTTTTTGTTAACTCTGATTGACTCACAATAATAATTTAAACGTTATGTACAAAGAGGATAGTTCAATAAATATTAACTCCATAATCTATAATCTTTGAACAATATAGGTGCCTTTAGAAAAAAAAACTCCTCAGTAACAAAAAACCTCTAATAATAAAAAAGTTTAATCTATAAATTACATGTTTCTAAAAGTGTTAGCAAATCAGATGTGTTTGTAATGTCCGTAGGCGAATGGCAGGGGTTCGATGACTTCTATCTCGTTGTAGATAGGAGCGGGCAGGTGGATGGGCTGCGGGGGTGGTGGTGGGGGAATGAGCTCCTGCAGGATGGTGTGTTCGTAGTTGAAAAGGTCGTAGTTGTTGTGGATCGGAGGCGGCAACAGAACAGCTGGAGGAGGTGGTGGGGGCGGTGGCTGATGAGTCAAGAACTCAAGTGACTCCTGTACCAGCTCATAGTTGTTGAAAATAGGAGCGGGCAAGTGAACGGGCTGTGGTGGGGGTGGTGGTGGGGGGATCTCTTGCACAACAGTGTGTCCGATATTGTAGATATCATAGTTGTTGTGAAGAGGAGGAGGAAGAATCACTGGAGGTGGTGGTGGGGGTGGGGGAGGTTGATGTGTGAAGTGCGCCAAGTTCTCCTGGACAATTTCATACTCCCGGGTGATAGGAGCGGGGAGATGAACGGGCTGTGGTGGGGGAGGAGGAGGTGGTATTTCCTGGACCACAGTGTGCCCGATGTTGTAAACATCGTAGTTGTTGTGAAGAGGAGGAGGTAGAACCACAGGTGGGGGTGGAGGTGGTGGTGGGGGCTGGTGGGTGAAATGGGCCAGATTCTCTTGAACGATCTCAAAGTTCTGGAAGATAGGTGCAGGCAAATGTACAGGCTGTGGTGGAGGTGGTGGCGGGGGGATCTCCTGCACGACCGTGTGCTCCAAGTTGTAGATGTCGTAGTTGTTGTGAAGAGGAGGAGGTAGAACCACTGGTGGGGGTGGAGGTGGTGGGGGTGGCTGATGCTGTATAAGCCTGTTGTTTTCTTGCACGATGTCGTACTCGTAGGTGATAGGAGCAGGCAAGTGGATAGGCTGTGGAGGCGGTGGTGGCGGAGGTAATTCCTCGACGAAGGTTCTCTCGATGTTGTAAACATCGTAGGCGTTGATGATAGGCGGGGGCAGCACCACTGGAGGCGGTGGTGGTGGTGGGGGTGGAATAGCCTTTATAACAGTGGTGTCGACCTGGTACACATCTTGAGTGCGGACAATCGGGGGTGGCACAATGACCTGAGGCGGAGGTGGAGGTGGGGGCGGCAATGGCTCCACTATGGTCCTCTCAATCTCAATCACATTGTAGTCTGTGTAGACTTGAGGCGGGGCGAAGATGGGCCCCGGCCTGTAGTGGGGCGGCTCGATCACCTCTGAAATTGTCAATTAAAAGCTTACAGAGTTGTGTGGTTAACCATTTGGGTTAAGGTTACACTGAGTGCAAGATATTAAGGTTAAACATGTGGTTAATTAATTGTTGGACTGGTTAAAGCTTTGGCTGTTAATTATTGTTGGATTAATTGTTTTGATTATTATTTATTATGGAATGTTATATTTGCTTTGGCAAAAATTTATCAAAAGAGGCATTTATTGTGTAAAGTTTCTCATCTTTTGATGGGATATGCTATTTTATTTTTATAAAGTAATTATAGTATTTAAATGTTTGTACAAAAATTATGGAACTATGCCAAATCATATTTTTAAGTAGATCAGGCCTTACAATTCACATAAATTTTTCATTTTCAAAAAGTTAATGATGTATGGTGGTAAAAAGATTCACCCCCTAATTCGACAACATATATGATTATTTTATTGTATGGTAAAACAAATTATAGGAGAAACTATATATCTTTGTATATTGTTATATTATCTCAATTTTTTTATATTCACTTTAATTATTGTACCTAGCATATGATCTGTTTTAGAACGTTTGAACAGCCTAAATTAATTAGTTTTGTGAAAACTTTATTACTTTTTAGTTATTTCCAACTAGTTGAAATCTTTCAATATTTTAAATTTGAACTTTGATTTTTTTAATGATTTAAAACTATTTTCACTTAATGACAACACAAAATGTTAGTCTCACACATTGACTCCTTACTTGTATAGGGTCGCTGCCTTCTATATGGCCCAGTAGCGATCTCAGGCTGAGCTACACAGTTTGAGAATGAAAAACTTATCAGCATGATAATAATACTTATTGACACTTTCTGTCCCAGAAACTAATTTCCATCTTTTCAAGGTTTTCACTTCTTATTAAGATTGTGACAGATTTTTATCAAGAACATCGAATCAAAGTGATACATTAATTAAAAATATTATTTCTGTACATAAAAAAGTATACAGAAATATTTGTTATGAGTAATTAAGCATATTTAAAATCCAAAACCTGACAGCGTAACTATTATAAAATCAAACACAAGGAATTACAGGATAATTTTCTAGCACTCATGTTAAGGGATTATTGTACCTATATACATTTAAATGTATGCTAGCAAGTCCATTCTTCAGTTTTAAAATTATTGAATATTTTCATCTGGATGAAAATATTTAGTCAAAGAGGTGAAAAGCATTTTACCGAGGTATTCAAAAATGGTTCTTAGCTATATCCTTAGTTATTTCAATTTATATTATGGACCAAAATAATTACCGTAAGTTACAAAACCTGAGCTGTTTTTCAAACTAAAAGTTGAATATTATTAAATTTATAAATCAATTTCCTAGGTGTGATTTTTTAATCAAATCTGGTAGCATTGTTGTCTTGGGCTAACCAGCAGAGGTTCCTGGTATAAGAACCAATATACTGGCCACCTATGTGACTAATACAATTGTGGTACTTGACTGCCTTAAGGTGCACAAATGTACATGGTGACAGGCAATTAAGGTTAGAAAAATGTTCATATATGGAGAACAGTTTAAAGTTTGGTGGGACACTAATATCATATACTTACCCACAAGGTCTATGCAGAGGCCTTCATTGCACCTGAAACCCGCACAGCAGGCCTCTACAGGTCCACACTAAAACATTGATCCAACATAGATACACAAATAATCTTGATATTCATATACAACATTGCTAAAACCGCTGCTTAGTTGTCATGATTTAGGGTATTTTTTTTACGCAACCCAAATAATTACAATTATTGTGAGACACTAGTGATAAAACAATCTCATATGTTGGTATCCCTGTTTTTACTTAGTACTTCATTGCTGTTCAGCTAATATGCATTGTTGCATAGGAAAAGGTTTAGTGTTATTAACAATTTATTGTATGTAAATCTCAAGGTTTTTAAGCAAGCACAAACAGAATATGTGCTGCAAGTTAACGTTCTTTTTTTTAGGTTTTCTACAGATTCGCTTTCTTTAAATTTTGACAATTCTATGATTAGTGCATTTGTTAGATACTGGATTCACATTAATTTTAAACTGTTCATGGTATAAAACCAATGATTTAATATACTGTACTATTGCTAATGGGACCTGTGTATTGTTCTTGAACGGTGTTGTTAAATAGTACAAAGTACTTGTTATATTTGGGTTGTGTTAAAACAAAACAGCCTGAATAGTGATCATTACATCATTATGCCAAGTCATTTATGTTTACTTTTTGTTAGGTACACAATTCTGTATATTCTAACCTGAATCAATCAATCTTTACTTGCCGTAAGGATGCATAACATATTATTGACAAAGTAAGGATTTACAGTTTTCTTTACGTTTTTTTTACAGTTTTACATAACAAAATATTCTTATAGGCAAAATAATTTACAACATGAGTGTAAAAGAAGTAAGCATTTGCCAAAGGCCTAGTATCAACTGTCCAAATAAATACAGTCCAGTTTTGTACAATAGCGCTACTTATTTTTCTCAAAACCAATCTTACTGATTTAGCTTCAGAGAAGATCTCAATTACAATTATAAATCACCATATGGAGAGATAATAATAGTAGCAATCAAACGGTTTACTTACGACATCTGTGGAGCAAGCCCCTAAGCCATATCCGTTGGCTAACTCAAAGCCCCCGGGAAAGTCAAATGATGTGAGGTACTGCGGGGCTACGAGCGAGCTGTGTGAGACCAGTAAACCTCAAACCAACAGAGACTATTAGCAAAACATACAAGAATACCATGGTTCATCGGCGGTGGGGGGTGGTTTCCCCCCGAAATATCAGGTTGGACCCTAATGTAGAGTTTTGTTACAATGCAATACAATATTTTAAGAAGGTTCCACCCGCCGCTGCTTACCACATACACATGGTCCTACAAGAAACTCCTGGCATTATTCAAGTGTTTATCGAGTTGATATCAACTGTAAAATATTCACAAAGATCCAAACTATGCACTGGCTGAACTGAAACCTCCTAATTGTTTCTTTAAGTTATAAAATCATTTTGAAAATCCGTAAATAAGTCTTTTTCACATGCAATTTTAACTTCTAAACAATAGTTCAAAATTATTTTTGAGCCACCCACTGCAAGCCCTGATATGTAAAGGACACAACAAGCACACAATCATTGGAAACAAATTAGTTTTAGAATGTTGAGAGCTTGTACCGTAGAGGCATGATGAGGAACATTAGCATGTGTAGCCTAGCTGCCATCTTGAATTGACCGGGTAGAACCCTCTGAACCCAGCTGAAATGTAACTCAAAACCGTTTAACCGGGTAGGATGATGACAATTTTGTAGTTACCAATTAATTAGTAGTTAGTTGGTGGTATAAAACTGATCTTTAATAAACATTGATTACATGGTTAGAGCATAGGTCATGATGAAAAAATTTGTGTTTGTGTATTTTGTATTGTTTACTTAAAAGCAAGTAGGCAATTCGTTACTATTTCAAAATACTATTTTGCAATCCATGAATGGTTATGAAGTAATTTTATATATCATTTCTACTGGAGTTGGTTTTTATTTTTACCGAAAGGTTTTTAATTTTTAGTTGCAGATTTTAAATTAAAAAACAATTTATGTAGTTTATATTTAGAACTGGATGCCTAAATAGAATTTTTTTATCTTAAGAATTTAACGTTATTGTAAATCTACATTGTCAAGCATAAACTTTTTACTGATAACCTAAATTATAATATTTAGGTATATCACAATTTCTCAAGATGAGGATGAAAAATAAGATAGCTAAATTTTTCTGACACTGAATTCTGGTTGGGAATATTATTGAAATGGATTTCAAGTGATATATTTTAGTGCACAAATACGTAACTTTTTTTACAAAAATGTGTTTGTTGTCAAACATGATTTCATGGTTGCAAGAGCACAGATTAATTTTAGAATTCCTTAAAAAAAATGTTGTACTGTTTGAATTGAAGTACTTGTAGTACTAAGTGTACTCAACAAAGCGCAAAAAAATAAGGTTGAAAATTTTCTATTTCTTATACTAAACTAATCTAATCATAAATATTTTTTCCATATAAGGGATATAAAGTAATAAAATATTTTTGAAACATTAAAATTTTTTATTAAAGCAAGTTAGAAACTTGTGGATGAAAAAATATTTTGGTCTAATTGCACAACTTTAGATTGTATCGACTCTTTTCATCATTTCCCTTAGAAGAAATTCATTAATAAAAATTTTTATTTATAAAAACTATTATGAATCCTGCAAGCTACACAAAAAAAATGATCTATAACCAAACTGAAATTAGTAAACCATAGTTTTCAACAGCTATTGATAGTTTATTTGATATGTTAGTCCGTGGAGATCTCCACTTGCGACTGAACTATGCTAACACTGAATTATGCTAATTAGATTAGGATGGGATTAAAAATATAAAAAATAGCTTACCTATCACTAAAACATGAAATCTGTCCCACATGATGACGGGGCACCATTGACAATAATTATTGACCCAAAAGATCCCTTATCAGCTAATGTTTTATATCACCCCTTTATCAGTCGTAATTTATTGAACAATAAACACAGAGGTAAACAGAAGTTCTTGATTTTATCATAAATGAAAGGAGCCCGAGCAAACATACTTCACATTTGCTCAGTATTCCTCGTGACAAAATGTAAAGCTAAACAAATATGTTGGTAAAATTATAAATACTGTGACTGAGACAAAAAGGTTGACAGCTGAGCCATCAGGTATAAAATGTGATTATGTTATCCAAACAATTACTTACCAATCTTATATACTAAAAATCTTTTTGCAAAACTTATGACAGCTAGCCTGACCATACTACTGAACTGAATTACACGCGGTTGGTACCAAATGAAAGATATTTTCCTGTAGATGTGCAGAATACCTTTACAGTATAAATTAAAATAGGCTCAAAAATAGGCAATAAAAATGAATTTTAAATTTAAAAAAAATTAACATGGGCCCTGTGGGTTGCTGTATTGGTGACGAAATAACAACAAAATATGAATAGAAAATAAAAACAAATTTAAGAAATTCCAATCACATGTTTCATTTACAGCGTGGGTTGAAAATAGGAAAGTTTGGTCAATACATAATTTTGGTCAAGTTTTCGACCTCGGGGCGAGCTCTCATGTAACGGGAATATAAGTAATATAAGTATGATGTTGAAAAGATGTTCACAGTTCAAATTTGAAGTTTACTGGTTCGATCCTGAATGAAATTGATTCTGAACCAAGCTGCCATTTGTCAAAGGCTTATCAATTACTGTTGCTATTTAACAAAAGGTCAATGTTATAAAGTACTAAAACCAAGACCTAAACCCTTGAAAAATAATTTACAATATGAAAAAAATCTTAATGATATACACATTCTGAACTGATGACATGCTCCATCCCCATCACAGAACAGCTGTAGTCTTTGTAAACTACCAAGGGCCGTTTCGGCAGTAACAAGGTAATTTAAACACCTATTAGCTAATTCAGGTGATCCAAAGGTCAAATGGAGGTTTTGTCAGTTGGGAAAATCTGATATTGTAAAATAGCCATATTAATGATGTCCAAGTGTAGGCCTAATTTAGCTTATCTTCTCACTCGATTCTTCCGTCTGCATATGCACTTGGTACAACATCGTAGGTACAACTTGGTGCAAGCAGATGGAAGAATCAAGTATGAATATATGCCATCTATCGAGCGCCGCACGGAGTTCATCAGACACCATCTCTTCAAGTTTGTTTGAAAAAAGACAGTTTTACTTTTGGATCTATAGCGGAGTTTTTCCACAACTGGATTGTAGGTGAAGACAAAATGTATGCTCGATTTTGAGGTGTATTCCTCTAAAACTTGCTGTGATATTTTTCATGAAGTTGTTTTAAATTACAGTATAGTAAATTTATGTTTTTAGGAAAAAGCATTTAGTTTGGATTAAATAAATATATAGGATGGAGAGGACACAGCTAACTCACCTGATGAAAGGTTGCAGACGAGTCAAAGAACACATTAAACACACATAATAATACTTGATATTTCGCCTCTTCCAGAGGCTTCTTCAGAAGTAGGCCTAGATGGCAGTTACAAGATGTTCTTGTAATTCTTCTTCAAGATTGTTCTTGTAACTGCCATCCAGGCCTACTTCTGAAGAAGCCTCTGAAAGAGGCGAAATATCAAGTATTATTATGTGTGTGTTTTATGTGTTCTTTGACTCGTCTGCAACCTTTCATCAGGTGAGTTAGCTGTGTCCTCTCCATCCTATATATTTATTTAGTATAGTAAATTTGTGTTGTTCTTAGTTTTGGTTTAACGTCTTACATGAAGATGTAGCAATGACAAGGATTAAGTACCGTATAGTAAGAGTACCGTAAGCATCTTGATTTTCTAATTTTTTTTTATTTTTTCTAAAAAAAATTGATGTAAAACTTAACAATAATTTATCAAGTAACTTTGTGAAACTTGCATAATTTCTTTTTAAAGGATACAAAAGTCTAAAAGAAATTTTTTAAATGGACAAAGTGTAGAATGTGTTGAAGGAAGTTTTAAATAAGACAACAATGTGCCAAGAACATAATATAATAAGGAATGTCTTATTTACATAACTACAAAATATAAATCACAATTTATCTATACAACATGTACAAAAATAATCTTACTAAAAACTATAAACTTGGGCCTTTATACAAATCCTTAATGTACAAAAATTACAAAATTTGGCTGTTTTGATTAGAACTGAAAGTTTGAAAATCATGTCATGTTACAACGCTTTTTATTATGTATAAATTAAATTCATAATCTCTCTTTTGGCAACAAATTACAAATTGAAATACAACTCGGAATAGCACCATAGAAATAAATATTTAAAGCAATTCTACATGAATAACTATAATAAATCTATACTACAAAATTGCTATAAGATCATTGTGCAACAAGCGTCACTTATTACAAACCAATCAAGTAAATATGAGATTCATTGTCTAATGAAATGAATGCATGGCATCAAAAGGAGCCCAGGTAACTTAATCCAATATAGTACATTTGTACAAAGTTGTGGAATGTGTACTTCCAAATGCAAATATAAACAATTATGACAGCTCTTTAATTGACAAAGTTTGTGAGAACTGTATTTAAAAAAATCGTTAAATGAATGATTAAAGCATTATTAGACCTACATTCAAAGTCCTTGTCGGACTTAGTCATTCATTCTATTGAAAGAAATATTTACTTATAAAGTACTTCACATGGAGTAACTTAACCAACAAAACTTAAATTAACACTAATTTATGCTGTTAAATAGCTCTCTCTAACAATAGTTGTTATAAGGCAAAGCGAATAAGATCATGTCTTCATAGATCTAAAATATCCCATTCAGATCCGTTTATTTAGGCATTACTAGCAAGTTCAAATATTATAGTTAGAAATCAGTTTAAGATACACAATTAGCCAACAAGTTACTAAACGAATTATAAAACATATTTCTCTTTGGTAACCTGTAATAAAATAAAGCATCAAAATTTTTAATTTAAAATTGTCTTCCGTAAAAATGTATCCCTAATATATGCAAAAATATCTTTCTTGTTTTGAAAAATACTGTGTAAAATGCCTTATGCATATTCTTATTTATAATTATTAGTAAATTTCAAGGTTAGTATTTAAAACTACCTTCCGTAAAAAAATAAATCCCAAATATGTACAAAAATATGTTTTTTGCAAAAAAGAATACTGTGCACTAAGGCCTTCTGCTTATTCTTATTTGTTTCATTCAATAGTTTCAATTGTGCGTTGTTAAGTTGTAAAAAAGTTTATGAATACAAAATTTTATAAGCTCTAATATTAAGCCTAATACATAAGATACTTTTCAAGCCAAGTATATATTAATTTGTCCACTGTGAATCAATTGCACAAAATTTGTACATAACTTTACGCCATAATCAAAAGATTATTGCAGTGCTTAAATTGTAAACACAATATACCGGTAGATTAAAAAGTGTACGTCACAAATAGTGAAGTAATCAAGTCTAAAATGTTAGACTGTCACAATTGGACAAACAAGACTACATGTATAAAACTTGAGTTGTGCTTGGAATGTGCGTAGATGATTCAGCAGTCTTTTCAAAAGGCAAGATAGGCTGTGAAGGCACGTCCGTCTCTCGTTTTGGATTCAATCGACATCAAGCTCATCTATCTGAAAAATTTATTAGAATTTAAGTAAAAATAACATATAAGCATGTAAGCAGTACTGATAATAAAATAAAATAATCTTTTGCACTAAAAACAGATTTCCAACAGGTTTTTGATTCTTAAACCACAGATTTTAATATTTTTTCATCCTAGTTTAATAATTCTTTTGCATTCTGAGTTTTTTTTTTTGAATTTTTGGGATGTCTGTACAGTTTTTTCATAGATGAAAAAAATTTAGACCTGCAACATTAAGTTAACAGCACCTTATTTTGGCAAATATAGAAAATATTAGCAGCTAGACCTTTTCTGCTAGTGGAAATGTAAACCCATTCATTCAATAATTTTAAATAAAAGACCATTTTCAATACATTTTACCGTTATCTAAAAGCATTTTTATTTTAAGTAAATATGCCCATAGAATAGGAAAATACCCCCGCCGCAGCAAACCTGCAGACTAAGCGAATTTCCATTTGACTGATTTGATTTACACTGAAATGTCTACTTAAAAATATAACATTTATTCCCGATTTAAATAGAATTAGTTTAACAAGTACTTAGGTTTGCTGCATCAGGGAGGGTAAAACTGTTTTTTTTGTAAAATGTTAATAGTTAGTAAGAAATAAAAACATTTTCCAAATTTGATCAAAATATGTTCATAAACAAGCAAACTACAACAGTTTACTTATTCTCCATAAGAATAACATGGGAATTTTAAATTTACAATTTTTTGGAATTTTCTCCGTAACCATTAGGCGCATAATAACGCTTCAATATACTAAATTATTTGTTTTTTTAAGCTCTACAAAATGGTTTGAAAATAAATTGCAAAATTTTATGTTTTTTGGGTCAAAAATGGGAAAAACCTAATTTTACCCCATAAAACCCCCCGTAAACACCCGTTCCCATGGTCCGATCATGCTGGATCGCGAACTCGTTCGAATAAACGTAGGTTTACACGTTTGTACCAAATTTCATCAAAATCGGATCATTTTTGCTCGAGTTATCGTGCTGACGGACACATATATATATATCTAATATATAAAATTCTCGTGTCACAGTGTTTGTCTGCAAACTCCTCCGGAACGACTTCACCGATCGTTATGAAATTTGGTGTGTAAATTCTGTAGGTATGCGAATCGGACGTAAACTATTTCCCGTTTCGAAATTCTTAAAAGGGCTCCGCCCCAGTGGCTCTGGAGTTTCCCATGTTAACCTTATGAGAAATGGAATTAATGAATCTTAACAGCTGTTTCAATTAAACAAGTTGGTTCTGTTCTATGATGTTCAATAGCATTAAAGTTACAAGGATTACCAACAGGGTGCAGCACTATTATTTCTTTTACATTTATGAGCGTAGCGAACGAACTTCAACCTGGAGGCGAGTTAGCGTAGTGAACGAACTTTAACCTGGAGGCGAGTGAGCGTAGCGAACGAGCTAACCTGAAGGCAAGTGAGCGCAGCGAACGAGCTCCAACCTAAAGGTGAGTGAGCGTAGCGAACGAGCTCCAACCCAAAGGTGAGTGAGCGTAGCGAACGAACTTCAACCAGGACGTGATTGAGCGATGCGAACGAGAGAGGCGAGTGAGCGTAGCGAACGAGCTAACCTGAAGGCAAGTGAGCGCAGCGAACGAGCTCCAACCTAAAGGTGAGTGAGCGTAGCGAACGAGCTCCAACCCAAAGGTGAGTGAGCGTAGCGAACGAACTTCAACCAGGACGTGATTGAGCGATGCGAACGAGATCATCTTGAAAATTAAACGTAACGGTACTTTCTTTCCATCGGTCTGTCTTAGGGGAAACCTATAACTTAGGCGATACGAAGTTCGCCGGGTCAGCTAGTATATATATATAAATATATAAATATATAAATATATATATATATATATATATATATATATATGAATTTGAACGGATGGTGTTTTTGGCCTCTAGGGACCTCAAAACGAAAAAAAAAAATCGGTCCCGCGTCCAGGTCTTACCATGAGTACTACGGTAATAGCTTATTCCCTATATGGGAAATTCGCTAATATTCCCTATATGGGAAATTCGCTAAAAGCATTTAAAGTCTATGCCACATATTGTTGACTTTTGACTTCAAACATTATTGTTAGCTACAATTTTAGTTGATGTTTAAATAACAATATGAATTAGAAATATGGAATTATGAGATGAATATTACCATTGACTATTAGATGCTGAATTTGGTATTAATAGTCAAAGATGTTACTCATACTATACTTAATTTTAAACTTAAAGATGGGCTAACGCATTTGGGACATCTTAAAAATTCTATGTATTTTCTTGGATTTCAGAATCAGTTTAAAGAAAAACTAAAATAACTCTCAAGTCATATAAATGAATTAATTTGGCTACTTTAAGATATTAAAAATATCAAAGTAAATTAGTAAATAAAACAACACTCTTATGAATCAACTTATTGATTGTTGTAAAGGCAATTTAATTCTTTGCTTTGAAAACAATCTCAAATTAAAGTGTATTTTACTAAGATTACTCCTACAGAATAATATTTTTTCAAACACACAGAAAAACTTAATTTTTTTCTCATTAAAGACATTTTCTTGTCATACTGGTTATGGCTAAAATACCTCAGGCAAATGAAATGTGATTTGTGAGATTATGAATATTGTTACATGCATACCACAGACAAGAACATAGATGATTTTTAAAGATGCACAGTCATAATGATGTGTTATGAAGTACATTCCCAAACACACTATGATATATACAAAAAGTATGAAATATTCTATAGAAGGTTAGTATTTGAAATAATTAATCTATATTATCAATACGCTACATAGCATAGAACTTTGTAAACAATAAGGCTTTTTTGTTTTAAGATTTAACCCCACATACCTATATACCAAAATGTTTGTCTAGGTGTGTAGATTTGCAAACTGACCTTACATTTTCAAAAAAGTACCTTGGCTCTGCCTCAGTGGCTTTTAAAGTTCCCACTTTATACTTATTTTTGGTAATGGATTACCAAAAATACACTTTTATTTTGTTAACGTTATCTGAACTGTTTAAATGAATAAATAAAACAACTATCCCACTGATTGCACCGAATAACAGTGAGCATCACAAAATGAAAGTAGTACCTTAGTAGTTCACTTACTGAGAATACCATTACTTTTGTAGTCGTTGGAACCGTTAGAACGGGTGAGTGAAATAACGCTGAGTGTGTCTTCCTGTTAACGGCGAGAATCACTAAATAGTAAGTATGTTGGTAATAGGATTGTTTTTGTAATGTCATCTGAACTGTTAATATGAGTAGGTGAAACGCTGAAACGGAGATAACGCTGATCCTGTTTTCTTATTAATTTCAACACTAACCAACTGTAATGTCTTTGACGAGGAAGTAATAGGTGACAAAAATAATAGTATTATTTTATCTACTACCAAAAAGCTAAGGAACATTCCTGACTATTTTTTATGTATAACGGTATTTCCCATCTATAATGCTAAGAATAAAATCCCATACCTAAAATGGGAAATGGTTGTGTGTAATGATAGTAATTGTTTCAATTTCTGATCCCACTGAGAAATTGAAAACTGTTTTAACATAGCAGCTTTCTTTAACTGACCAATTTCGTCCTACCTCATATCTCGAGCTCGTCCTGTGTGCGGCTGAGCCGGTTGCTGTCTATCCGTCTCCGTTGGCTGCGTCTCACCGCGTCCGCCCGACGGTACGGCTCGCTCTTCAGTCCCAACAGTATGTCCTCCAAGGCACCGTTGTACACCTCGTCCTGGTGCAACAGCTTCTTCTCCTGTACCAGACGAGACTTGGTCTTCAGCTCGCTGATCACTGCGTCCTGGCAACCAACAGACTACCGTGCAACGCTACTAGCCACTTACCCTACCCCGGCCATGGTCGACTCAAACACTGATAACTGCTACTATTGTTAGTAAGATGGCCTACTATAATTTCATTTAGGTACTCAATTCGGCTTGGTTAAAATGTTGGCTTATTCGACAGAAAGTCATTTATATCAACTCATTCTGTCAGTGGTTAAAATCAACATGGAAAAGGAATGTATAGTTTTAACCATGGAGTTGGTAGCGGTCGGGAGCAATTGACAAACATAGGGACCAATGGACAGACATTGAGAGCAAACGGATGATATCGAAAGCGATTAACAAATATCAGAACCAATAAAATGAAATTGGGAGCGATTGGAAGACACTGACTAAATTATCGGAAGAGTTCGTAGCGGTTGAGAGCAATTGGCAGACCTCTGTAGCGATCATAAGAGTCGGTAACCGTCGGAAAGAGCTGCAAACTTAGCGGTATTTTCGCTCAACTTGCAATAAAGGATATTTTTATAAGATGCACAGTAATCCAGCATTTTCAATAATCTGGCACCTCTAAAGTCTTAACAGAGCCGGATTAGTGAGTGTCACCTGTTATTTTGCTACGGGAAACACAGGTGATTATGTTCACAAAGAAAGTTTAAAAATAATTACCCTACTATAGGCACAAGAGTTGTAAGTAGCCTATATTAAAACTTCAATTTCCAACATAATATTATCGACCATGGCCATTTCCTGAGATAAAAAGCAAATAAAATTGAAAACTAGACAATCTATAGCATAACTAACACAAACTAATAAACTCATAAACTAATAATGAATTGAATAGTTTACTTTGACCCATCAATTGCTAGTTTAACATAGCAAATTAGTAGGGGTGGGTGAATTCATTTTTCACTCAATTATTTTTTTTATTGAGAATTAGATCACTTTATTAAAAAAAATATCGAGTCTAACAATAGACTATAAACAACAGTTTAACAGTCTTAAAGGAGCAGTGTTTGTCTGTATGCATTAATGAACATTTGATCTTATTGCTTTACTAAAGTGAATTTAACTGTTACACTCATTACTTGAACTATACGATTTATAACAAAATTGCTTATCACAGCAACATTTAGTACCAAGTTAGTTCAATTTTTATAGAAATTTTAGTCAAATAAGGTTACATCTATATAATTAATACGCTACATGAAACTTTGTCGGTTGAACTCCTCCGCTATTTCTTAACCGATTTTATCCATTGACGTCTCATTGGAAAGAACGTGTCACGTAGATTTGCAAACTGGCCTTACATTTTTGAAAAAGTCCCTTGGGCTCTGCCCCAGTGGCTTTGAAAGTTCCCATGTTATCCTTATGAAGAACATAATTGTTTACATTTTGATCAGCTGTATAATTTAATTTCTGTTGTTTATTTTTCCATTCAAAGTCTTTTAAACTCATCGGAAATTATGATGACTTTCATTTGTCTTTAAATAACTAATTGACAGTACTTCTTTTCAATTGCTCGATTTCGAGCAACGTGTTTACTAGTAATATATTATAACAACAGGCCAATTATCATCCCTCACCTAAAATCCAACATAATAAATTAATCTCCTAAATTTATTGACTTGAAACTCAAGTGAAAAATAACAGTATAAAAGTAAAAACCGGCTTGATTAAAAACTGAAAAACTTTATATAACAGTGAAAAGGGTAAACAATTTCCCTAAATTCCAAATTTTTTTTATATTCTTGGAAATTAAAATAATAAACCTAAATAACTAAACACTAAAAACTAAAATAACAAAATAGTAAAAGAACTAAAGAAGCCAGAGACCTGAACTTTGTAGCTAGCTACGTGCAAGTCTAGTTGGTTACCAGTTACAGTCCATGCGAGTTATACACATTACCATGCTATTGATTAGTTATGTTATACTTTCTACACTGAAACACTGGATTAGAGTCAACAATACAGAAATAGGTACAGAAACTTACTTGTTACTCATTAGGTACAAAGTTAATTAATGTAAAAAATGAATCTATAATTCAGTTAATCCAGTGTGAACAAAGTGTAAAAATAGATCTTAAATACAAGGTTACAAATCGTTAACACTTACACAAGAAGGAAACTGAAAGGAAAATAAACAGTAATTTCAACAGGATACAAGCTTACAAGGAATCATACGTTTAAGAAACTACAAGCAATGTACAGCAAGCTAAGAAATTAATTAATTAATTACAAATTTTAATTTGTGTTAAACACTCATAAAATATTAGCTACTGGTGTTCAAACTACTCCACAATATATAAAACAAACATACAACAGAATTCAATTTAAGACAAATGACTGACAACAACCACGGCGCAGGGACGCTTCCAGTGGGAAATCTTAAAGTAACTCTGTTGATAATAATGATGACATAGCAAAGTATAATGAAAATTTCAAAAATTCATGAGGCAATCAAAAATTACTAATAAATGAGTATATCAATTTAATTTCAAAACTTACAATTAAATTTTTACCCATAGAGAACTCAGCTGTGTAGGCTATTTTGTTTGTGGTTTGTACAGAATTTAAAATTAACCAAATATTATTTTTATTTTGAAGTTATTAATCAAGGTTTTTTGTTTTTTTTTAATATGAAGAAAACTGAGATTAATTTCCATAGATTTGAATTGCAGTTTTCAAATCGGAACTGAAAGTAAAAAAGTTCAATTCCGCTTAGAGGATTTTCAACTATGGTTTTAAATTATTCAGTTCTAAAATTAGGTAAATTGTTGTTCACAAGAGAAAAACACAATAAAAGGAATATCACGTTATGAAAGTTTAACATTATTTCACAACCTTAAAAACATTTGTGATGCCCATTTAAACCCATTTCAACTAAAATAAGTAAAATTGTTTGAAAAAAGATATTATATTTTAAATTTAGTAAAGCATGATGCAATAAAAAAACTGTGTTACAAAAAGGTTAGGGTTTGTGAAAAGTGTAAACGTAATTTGGAACCAGACCTCTAAAAGGGAAAGAAAACAAATGTAAATACATTGAAGAAATATATTGTAAAACCAAATTGATAACAAGACTGTAATATACAGCAATATAAGAAATAATTCAGTAAAATACTGATTTAAAATATAATTATCATGTATAGTATAAAAGGAGGGTTAAAACACACTTGATAAAGCTATAAAACTAAGAATGCAACATAATGAAGCAAGCAAAATACTAATTCATTCATTGTGCGATCACTAGCAAATTAAGTAAGCATGCTAGCGAGTATAGTGTACAACAAGCATAAATACTCCCCTTAGCTCAGGTAGAAAGCTAATAATGAGTTACTAAGTCAGGAAATAGTGAGCACCATGCAGCAACATTTCACCGAGCTTCAAATGCCATATGTTACCTGCTGTCTTTTCTGATTGAGCTTGTTGCGTTTGATGACTTCTTCGGAATTGTTGTTCTGCATGGACTGAGCAGCGGCCATTTCTAGCCTCCGCCTCTGTTCGTTCTCTTGTTCTGCCGCCTGAAAACCGTAAATGATGTTAAAAGTTAAAAACAGGATATTTGGAGGTATCCACAAATTACCTTTAACAAAATTAGAAAATAAATTTATAAACATTTCAGTCTAATATTAAAATATTTGGCATATAAAATCTATAACATTATAAATAAGAGGTGGTGTCTGTTCTTTTGTACTGAGTGAACGCAGAAACTATTGTTCTTATACAAACTTAAGTAACTTTACTAGATGCTTACAGCATAGTGTCTAACCAAATCCAACCTTTACCTTGAACGCACGGATGAACCTGACGAACAGTAAGAAGAACGTGTTGGCGTCCGATGTGCGAGTGGACTCTCCGAAGTACTCGAGACACTCCTTGAAGTTGTCCTGCGCAAGCTTGGTCTCCGCCTTGAGCCTCTTCAGTTTCTCCTCCGAGTTTGTGAGGAAGTCGGTGAGCACCGTGGCGTTGGCACGCTCCTTGCTGCACTCCTTGCGCACAGCCTCCATGCCTTTCTCCAGCTCTGCCACGTCCGCCACTATTGTCTCGAGTGACGCTGGAAAAGAATTCCGGATTAGAATTGCCATTTTTGTAATTGGGTCTTGATCAACTCTATATTTATTTTGATAAGCCAGTGTTTGAACTTATCTCTCTCACAGGGAAGTCTGACTCTGAGACGCTAACTTCCAGGATAGAAACAAATTTATTGACCAGTAAATTTATTTAGTTATATCTTCTTAGGTTGTAAGAATCTGATAGGAATATGGCACTCACCAATGTGCCTTTTGATGATTTGAGATATAAAAACAAAAAAATTCCAATCTACATTTGAATTAGCTATGAAGGGTTTGCCAAACCTGTCACAAACATCACTGTCTAACTAAATCACATTGACTGAGAATTAAAAACTATATTTACAAACACTGTAACTGGCATAAAGAATTATTCGGTAGGAGAAACTAATTTAGTTAGAACCCTTACCCATGGCTGCCTTGTCGACATGCAGCAGTTCTGTGTCAAAGTTACGCAGCTCCGGGAACTTCTCTCTGATGGTGTCTACGATGAAATGCAGCAAGGAGCATCGCTTGTCACTGCTCTTTGTGTCACCTAATGTGTCTAGCGACTGCAGCTTAAAGCCGTAGGCTGGTCCTCGCTGTACAAACAACATCGTTGGTGACCAAAAAACAATTCAGACAAAATACGTTTGTTAACATCGTTACCAGTGGAATAAAAAACCTAATTAATGAACAAGAGTAATTTAAAGATTTTTGCCTCTTGTACTTTTAAGTTCATTTATTACACTTATTGGTTAGTTATTTATAATTAGTGGTTATTTTAAATTGTTTAACTTGTATGACAAAATTAAAATTATTTTAAATAAATATTTAGACCTAATTTGAAAAAATGAGAGGAGCTTTTGAACTTTAAAACCAAAAAAGAATCCTTAAACTACTTTTACACTTATTTTCATTAATCAACTAAACAAAAGCTTATTTTTGGAGTTTGGTCAACTGATCTACCTACAAAACAAGTGCCTTTTAAAAACATAATCTGATTACTAAAAAGACAAAAAATAACGAAGACACCAAAGACAAAAAATAATGAAGACAAAAATACTAAAGACTACAAATATACCTTGGCACTGTTGAGGTAGTTGCCAAAAGCCAGAACAACTTCAAGCACTCGCCGCAGCTTCTGCGATGTTCGTACTGACGATGAGGCTGAGATGATTGCATGCACTTGCTGAAAATCACAGTTTAATTAATTATTAGGAACATTTTGATGAAAAACTAAATGGAACACTTTGAAATTAAAATTGAGCAGTCCTGTAATCTACTAAACCATTGTATGTCAAAATGCAGCAAAGATTCTGGTTAAAAAAAAATTGATTTATAATAAGGATCTTTGTTTTTAGTTGTTAGTTGATTGTGTTTATATCTTAAGTGCTGTTAGTAACAGTCATTGAGATGAATGATAAATAATTGATAGAATATTTTGTTTAAATGAAAAAGTTCTTGACTGTAACATCCCTGCGAACAAAGTGACGGAACACTGACTGAAACCAACTGAAGCAACTCTTTGACCAAGCTAAAGTAGTTGTCTAACTGTAAACTTTAGCTTGTAATTTGACACATCAACAATTACAGTGACAGTAACTAACAGAGAAAATATAGTTTTGACAGTAGTAGCTCATTCTTATGTCACATAGAAGTAAGGTACAGAGGAAACGAGCTTATCATTGATGTGCTTCCAGTTTTGGTATGTTGTGCCGGAAATATACTCGTGACGAGCAAGGAAGAGCCCGAGCGGCGAGCACTGTGCAGAAATTCCTATTGGACAGGATCTTCATTTACTGTCAGCGTTGTAAGGACATAAGGTCAGGAGCGGTGTTGGACTTTGCGCTAGACACCAGCGACTAGTGCTGGACCACTAAGTGTACCATTAAATGTTTCCTCAGTAACCTACCTCTCCGTGGATTTTAGTGACAAATTTACATATGTACAGCCTACGATGTCTACTAGCTGGATAGAACCACTCACCGGTGTAATAAGGTGCACATTGTCCAGGAAGTTGCCCATGTACGCCATGATGGCCAGTTTGCTGGACAGCCGCTCCACCCTAGTAAGCTGCATAAGGAACCTGTCCTCCTCAGTCAACAAGCAAATGTCCTTCTTCTCCAGCTGGTACTCCCGGTACGCCTTGGCCTGGAGAAATACAAAATAGAGTTCAAAACTTCCACTATGATCAAGTGCAGGAAGACATGATGATTTTCAATGCAAAACTGAAGAAGGTTAAATAAACCGGCTCGGGTTGTTTCTCCCGCTAAAGGTAAAATAAAAAAGTCAAGATTGTGATGGATGGCCGAGAGCTATTAGCGAGGCCAAAAACCTTAATAGGTTTGAGTGGCCTCATAAGTAAGGAACATTGCTATTTGAGTGCATTACACTAAAAACTGTATAAGAATAGTTTAATATCAAGAAACTTGGAAACTAACAATTAGGAAATGATTGTTTGTTGCTAAAAGCAGTCTTTCCTATTTTGACTGTTAAAACTGGCATTTATATTTCTACAAATTTACCAACATTAATCACATTTTACCTCAAAAGTACTGAGTTTGGGAACATTTTGTTTGGCACTTTTAGATATAGAATGTATTTTTTTATTTAACGCCAAAAGTAAGGGTAAGGAAACGAACCACACCCTGGTCCTTGGGTAACATCAGCCTTTTTGGTGGATAGTGTCTTTAATTGAAATATCAAAGACCTTATAGCATCTGGGTCCAGAATTGACCTTACTGGGGATAAAAATACTTACAATGTACATTTAAGACCCATATCAAAATGTAGCTTATATGATGAAATTTTAGAAATCTTAAAATTCCCATTTGATGCAACATATAGTAACTCAAGATACTTATTCACGTTATTGTGATTATCACTCACTTCTTGATCGGTGGGAACCATTCGTTGAAGCAGTTCGACGTTTTCCAGAGAAACTTGTTTCAAATCTAGAGCATTAACGGCTGCAATCACTTTATCAACTGGCATCTCTATCTTCCGCCTAGAGATGGCTGTGAAAGGAAATGGACAAGATTAAAAAGATAAACTACTACTTGAGTCCATCTTACTGGACTAATTGGGACCAATGATCAGATCAGCTGACTGTTCAGATTAGCCAAGATAATTTAAAAACAATATAGAACTTAAATCCGGGGTAGTTGTACGGAGCCACGAATAATGAAAAACACGGTACTGTATATCCAACATGGTATAACAAGACATAACAAACACATTAAAACAACGTAATCTTGTGTAAATAGGCAATAATTAATTTTATTATTTGCAGGTTTACATCCAAAATAATAACATTTCACAAATCAATAATACTTGATCACCATGATAGTCTAAGTCATAAATCTTGGTTCAAATATAAAAAATGTATTGTTTAAAATCACAACGTTAACAAAAACAACTTGACAAAAATTTAACAATAAATCACTTAACACGTTCACTGCGGGCGTATCCGATAGGATACAGGCCGAGCGGTGTTCAGATGCTGCCGTAACCAATCGGATACGCTCGGCAATGCCTTTCGTATATCTTTGTTTTTGCTCTAGCGTCGGTCAAAGGCAGACCTATACCACGTTACCATGTAGTGGGTGACTTGCTTTTGGTTGAGTTGTAGGTTAGTGGTAAAATTTCCCCATAAAATCCCCATCTGGCAATCTTAAAAATTAACTTGGTGTCCCGTCTTTCTCCCCCCTCCAATTGGCAATATAATGGGACCGACTACGTTCCAAGCAGTGCTGCTATCTGTGGGTGTTTAGCGAACTAAGTTGACTCTTGTCATAAAGCAGGACATCACCTCAAGTTATTTGCTATTAGTCATACCGAAATATGAAAGACAATCACCCGGCAATCGGGTTTGTTCGACGCTGCGGGCTGCGCTGCACTGGGGCTACGCCTGCCATTTGATGGGCCGCAGCGAACGTGTTAAAGAACAAAACAGCTCTTGCTAGTTATAGACTACTGGAGCTAGCCATTTCAGAACAGAGGCATGTCGATAATAATCGTCTAGCACTGATGTTCTGTGATGGAAAAAAATCATTACAAAACTGCTGTAAAGAAAGTTAGTCAGCAGCACTGGACCTTTGAAATTAACCTCTAGAAATAAATCAAGGCCTTGGGGAGGTGACACTGACACCCTAAATGAAATTACTTTTCTAATTGCCATTCGTCCCTCCCCTAGATAATAAGCTATCAAATGACACCTCAATGATAACAATTTTAAAGTAGGACATGTGAAAAAGGGATATTATACAGAAAACCTGTAGTATACATTGTTTCATTTAATACTTAGGAGTGTGCGAATACTCGAATCTTCGAGCTTTTTGGTCGAGCTTTTCATTATTCGGCTCGGCTCGAGACATTTTGAAAAAGCTCGAAGTTCGAGCCGAGCTTTTAATACTAAGTCAAAACACTTAATTTGGGTCATAATTGAAAACAATGTTATCACAATTCTACGTTGTTCATGCATTCGAGGTTTATGATAAGCACGAACCTCAGCTCAGTCAAGACGCAATGATTATCGATCGTAATTTTGAGGAGATAGGAAAGAGACAAACGTCCACCTATCGCGTTGTCTTTCTAACAGCTATTCGTATCGTAATATACAACGCAGTGCGAGTGCGTGATTGGCTTGTCGCTATGACGACACACGGTTGCCATGACAACCTACAGTGCGCACTGAGCACTGCGCCTTGTGTGGGAGGGAAGATTATACCAACAAACAATTTCAGGAATTCTATTTTGGGACGGATGAAAGATAAGGAAGAAACAAAAAGTGGTCACATGAGCAAATGTAGTGGGCGACACAATAAGGCTGTAAACGAGTATCGTCGTGTCGTTGTTCCTTGTTTGTTTACTTTTTCAGATTCCTTATCAAACGCCCCTATCTGCTATCTCTCTATTTCTCTATCTCTCTCTAACAATGTACTGATTAAACAGATTGTGGTTGAAGACTTTTCTACTTATAAGTTTATTTTAGTTCAATCAATCCTATAACCTTTCTAATGTTTATAAAAATAATTAATTATCTGTTTTGTATTTTATTTCCTTTAAACCAACCCCTATTTACCATATGTATTTTATAGAATAAAATGTTTGTTTATAAAGTTTGACTGGCCACACAATTTTGTACCTTTTTTTATTTTGTATAAAGTAACAGTTACCTTGATGATTATATTTATCAATAAGTGGTGCGTGCTGTAGTGAATGCTTTTTATTATCAAAATAAGTAATGAGTTATTAATTTTTGATAATAATACATGGGTCATTGAATACCATAATGTGATGTAGTTTCCTATTTCAGTAACTTGCAAATAATAATAATTGATAGTTAATTCTGGAAAATGAAAAATAGTGATCGCATTCATAAACCTGTTGTCAAAACAGCAACACGGGTGTAAGGGTTTATTGTTTCATAGGGGTACAAAGGACGTGGGTGTTTCAAGGACAAAGTGTTGGGCCTCCCGGTTTAGGGGAGAGGGGTGGTGGTGAGACTGCAAGAAGGGGAGGAAACTGGTTTTGGCTATTTATTGATTAGTTCGCCAACCCTTCTAGATAACAAAATTGAGTGACAGTGTTAATTCATTGTGTTCTTTATTTCATTTCTTGTTTACTTTGTGTGTTATTCTATTAATTTTAGTGTTTTGGTCTATTTCCTCCATATGTCAATTATATCTTTTTTAATATAAGTTTACTTTTTACTTGTCTCTCCACCTTTTTGGATCCAAACCAACTATGTTCTTTTTTGATTAATACGATTGATAAAACTAAAATATTTTGTGCATGGAAAACAACAAGAATAATCACGTGTTTTTAAATTTATTTTGTATTTATACAAAATAGAATTAAATATTCATAGTAGTTACAATATACATAATAATGTAATCGACTTGCTAGTTGTTTTGTCGTCATTCAAGGTCGCGTTGCTGTTCTGTTATGAAAGACAATCTGATTGTCTCAGCTCAGTCTGCAATGCATATCTCGTCAGGCCTTCAATTATCCTTTTATTTCTTGCATCTTAATTTAGTTCAGTTCAGTTCTTATCGTGATTATCTACTATTTGATGTCTTGACAATTCTCAATGTTTTTAAACATATTAAAATAACATTGTGTTTATTTAAAAATTGACTGAACATTATTATTATGCAATTTTTTAGGAAAAAAAGTTTAATAATTTAGATAAGGTGGCGCTAGAAAAAGCTCGGCTCGAAAAAGCTCGAGCTCGAAAATTTTTGAAAAAGCTCGGCTCGGCTCGGCTCGAGGTTGAAAATCACTATTCGCACACCCCTATTAATACTGTAATTTTGCTCAAATAATGTGTGTTTTTAATATTTGCACCTAAGGTATAGAATTTTTCAGACATTGGAACCAAGGAATGTGTCGAAACAAGATCCTTCCCGTTCTGACAGTACAAATGTTTGTTCCAAGTTCAAAATATCAACAACTAATCATTCTACGCTCACAAAAGTGTATATTTACCGATATTTCTCAGCCTAGTGTGCTCCAACAGTGAGACAGTCTCAGGTTTCTTGAACCGCTTGCTCGCTTGTGACGACAGCCCGAGCCCGTCCACCTCGTGAGAACCGTTGGTCAGCATGTTGCCGCCGCTACCAGGCAGCTTGAACATCTCCTCGAACTCCGCAAAGTCTATTACCTTGTACAACTTGTCATCGTCCAACTCGTTGAACAGTGTTCCACGCACCTACACAAGTCGGACAACTAAGTAGGCCTAACTGCGTAGTGTTTGAGTCAGAGTGTATTGGTTGACAGGTAAAGCAAATATAGCATATCAATAATAATAACCCATATCTAAAAGACATTAAATCTCCATTCTACCTTTGAAAACCTAAAATAAGCAATACAGAAGAGCCTCGATAACAAGACTCTCAAGGGAATTGTAAAATAAGACTTGTTATCAAGGTTGACTTCTTATTAAGGTTTATAATAACATGTAATTAGGGGTAAAATAAATTCAAGGGGATAAGAAAATGACACTTGTTATCAAGGGTAACTTGTTATTGAGCGTCTTGTTATCAAGGTTCTACTTTATTATGTTCAATCATTTTTTGGTGACAGTGGATCAGACTTCATGGTATTGCCATGATTGCGGAAAACCACAATATTATTGCAAACACAATTTGCAATAATATTGTGGTTTTGCCACCATTGGGGGAGATTCTGGAACTGGTACCGAATCAAAGTTCCAAGTGACGAGAGTCAAAGATTCCGTTAGACCATATAGTTTTCTGGAATTGAGAACAAGAATCAGCCCACCCTATCAACAATTAAACTGTAAAATTAATGATTAGAGGGATTTTCACAGTTTAAAAAAATAAAAGCCCATTCACAGTTTTAAGATTTAGAAAAATATGATTTTGACAGCAGCTCATTCTGCATGTGGCTCATTAATTTTGAGTGGCCAATTCTCTTTGGACCCAAACTACCTACAGCTGATCCGTATGGTGGTATTTGTTGAATATCAATTCTAATGCCCATGAAAATATTGTTTAAATGTATTTGAATTTGGAACAGATGATATTTTTTCATATGTTAAATAGTATTAATAGTGTAATTGTTCCTATGTTGTAAATAGTTGGTTTCAGTCTCCCATTTTTTTTTAAGTAAATTAAAAACCTTTAATCCAAGTCTAAAGTTTCCTACTATTTTATAGATCCCTTCCTACTGTAGAGTGTAACAGTATTATGGTGGGATGTCTACTTAAATATCCAAAAGTTAATGCTGCCACAATCCAACAAACATTAATTTTATCATCTACATAGTAATAGGCAACCATGTTTCTTTAAAACCTCTTTTCTCAGCTCGTGTGCATCGCAAGGAAAATCTACGCATACTGTTAGAAAGATATTTGCCTTTTGATGTGCAGAATCCATTTTTATAAATTAAAATAGGCTCAAAAATAAGCACAAAAAATGAATTAAAACATTTTTTAAATTAACATGGGCCTTATGGGTTTGCCATGCTGGTGACGAAATAACATAGAAATATAAACAGAAAATCAAAACAAAGAGAAGAAATTCCAATTATAGGTTTTATTTACAGCGAGGGGTGAAAATGGAGAAGTTTGCACAATACATATTATTGGTGGAGTTTTTGACCACGGGGCGACCTTTAGTAATCATAAAACAAAACATTTACCTGGTTTGGTTTGAGTGCGATCCAGTTGAGCGAAGGCAGCTTGTATTTGGTCTGGACTTTGCGTTTGATGGTCGTAGCATCCCCGGGTGGCAGCATCATGCCGACAGGTGGTGGAGGGGCAGGTGGGGAGAAGGCTTTACAAGGTGGTGGGGGAGGGGGAGGCGGTGAAATGACTGCTGGTGGGGGTGGCGGGGCAGGGGTGGAGTTGCTATTGCAGGAACTGGTGGAGGATGTCGAACAAGACGACAGAGCACTGCTGACACCTGAACAAAATAAAAAGTTTTAGATTTGTTTTTTGAAGGAAATTAATTTTTTACGATGGTTAAATGTCAATAGAACACTAATGTTAATAAAAAACTGTTAGACTTGTTAAACAGTGATAATATACAACTTGAGAGTACGACTTGCGCAACAAGTCTCCTTTCTGTATCTTCATCTCTCTCTAAATTGCTTTGAACCGCAACTTATTATAGAGAGAAGAATAACTAAAACACAAACCTTCATTTACTACTTTCTTAGTTAATTCCTAAAAGTACTAGAGTTCTGTCGTAACTACTGGTAACTGCGTATCGTACTAATTTTGTACCGAGAACTAATGTTAACGTGTGTTGGTTACCAATATAACGTACCGAAACTAACCTTAAATTTTCTGTACTGCACCCCCTAAAAAGTTTTTTTCGTCGCATACCAAAAACTGAGGACAAAATATAATGTACAACTCGTGTTCAAAGTGTCTTTTTTCAACTCGATCAAATTGACTCTCACTAAAAAATCCCCACTTTGACCACTTAGGTGAAATTACCATGTGATAAGAAAACATCTTGTCCATGTGGTTTACCAGAGTCAGGAGATGTCCTGGAGATGAGCTCCTGTATCTTGTCCTCCAGCATGCTGGACTGTCTGCTCTGGGAGTGGACCTGTTTCCTCAGGGTATGTACCTCTTCCTCCACCTTGCGCCGTCCCTCGTTGACCTCCTCCAGCTCCGACCTGGCCGCCCCCAGCGCCGCCTCCAGTGTGGCCAACTGCGCCAGGCTCTCCCTCTCCATCTCTGCCAGCCTGTCATGAGCCTGCGCCGACAAACATGTTATACACTCCGTAATGGTCTCTTGTTGATCAACTTATCCATGTAATTTATATTTATAGCTTAAGGGTAAACCAAATTGGGTAGATTAATCTTGGTCAATGGCTCTAGGTCAGAGTCTATATATTAAAGTGGAAATTGGTTTTAGTCTGTCTCCACTAAACAGATAGAAATGTTGAGCGCAAAAACTTAATAGAGGTAAACAAAGGTCTTGGTACAGTTTTAACAACACTCACATGGCTAACTTCATCCTCAAGCTCGGCAACCCTCTCCAACGCTGTGGTTTTCGTCTCACTGTCTTCCATGAGAGCGGCCACATCAAACACATTGTCTAGGTAAGCAGAGAATTGTACCTGTAGAGGAAAACTCGTATCAAGTTAAAAAAATAGTTCAGTTGTTTTACAATGAGTCATTGTTTTGAAAACAAAATAACCAATTATCATGTGAAGTTTTGGAAAAATGCTCAACTCATTTTAGGGTTCTTTTGTCATATTGTTTGTATTTTGAACACAACTAAAGAGAATTGGGGAGAGTTATATTAGCTTTTTCTAAGCCACTACAAGCTAACAAAAATATTTACCACATGTCACATGTCTAAACATCAAACATGTCACATATCCGTAATCTTAATCATATTAGTTTGTATACAGGGTGTCCTGCAACCATATGAGCCAAGTTTGTCACGTTCAGCATGTCAAAAGAAACTAAAAATGTAATAACATGTGTCTTATCTCATTCAGTTTTCGGTCTATCTGTGTGTATTTGTGATTTTTACAAAAACATTCATAACCCCTTAATTGCTTGAACTACAGTGTTGAAATTCTGTAAAATTTGTTATCCTATTGAGCACTATTTTTTTTTGCAAAATATGAATAAAAACTCTTGAACAGTATTAAAAATGGCTGCTTTTTTTAAATTTTGATGCCAAATTCCAAAAAAACCATTAATTTTACCAAATATTTGCAGGATATGTAAACTTTAGTAAGTTTTATGCAGATTACAACGATATCGTATAAGCCTTAGTTTGGACAAAGAATAACTTAGCAATAAATTATTTTCTTGCCATTTAGTTTTTTTCCTTTTAAGTAATGTTAAATTGATGCAACTATTTTTTAATAGTGCTCAAACAGTTAAGGAGTTATGAATGTTTTTGTAAAAATCACATACAGACAGATAGAACGAAAACGGAATGAGATAGGACACATGTTATATTACATTTTTGTTTTTGACATGCTGAATAACGTGACAAGTTTGTTCATATGGTTGCAAGACACCCTGTATATTACAGTATTTGGATAACAAAACATTCAGAACGCTAATTTTAATGTTCATGGTAGTTGATTTTATAGTCTTAAACATATAATTTATTTTATGTTCATTTATTTTGCGGAGGACAACTATGGGATGGTTTCAGATATCTTTAGTTCTTAAATAAAATCAATTCACCAAACAAAACATATTTGTATTGCACACTTTTAGTTGCTATATTCAAAACATGACTGATGTAAAAAGTCAAATTTGATTAAGCGTGTTTTAATTTGACTGAGATGAGCTAACAAAACGTAAGTCTAAGTTCTAGGTATTTTAATAGGCAATAACTTTCTTATAAGTGCTATTCATTTGTAAAGCTATCCAGGCCAATGAAAAAGGCTAGGTTTAATCTGATTTATCGAAATCAGAATGTGTGGTGTAGGTTTATTTCTAACTCAATATTAATGTCTCAAATATCAAAACTCTCAAGGGCAAGTTCAATTCCCAAATTACTGGAATCTGGAGAGCTTTACTTAAAAATGTATAGATAAGACTAATTCCATACCATATACGCACTCTGTTTCATTATTTGTATAGTTTTCAACCATACTATTGTAATGGAATTCAGCGAATATTGCTTGAGCTATGAGCATTGAGATTAAAAATTAGACTTGTTTACTTGATTCAGGCTCAAATCCAGTGAGCATATAATCTTACAAATAGTTCCTGGTATCTTAATTAAAACCCTTCATTCTCGAACAAACAACATTCAACATACAACCAAGGAATGATAATTTGAATTAAAACCATTAAGAAATTTTGAATTTAAAATAATACACCTAAACATAAATGGTTATTTAACAAGGGAAATCTCAAAATGTTGGTAGTTAAAAAAAAATAATGAACATGAATGACATGAAAACATACACAACACCAAACACAGCCTGATTCCTAACACCAGTGAGTTTTGTCCGTCCCCTTACAATCGAGTTGAAAATGAGGAAATACACACCAGTTTTCCGCTCCCATCGTCCCGCAACATTCACAATTCACATAGAGTACCAACCGGCGTGTTAAAGAAGTGTTCCAGCATTTTCGACGTAAGGGGACCCCCTACAATGTATACCTTGAGATCTTCGCTCTCCGTGTTGCGCAACCTCTCCAGGTACTCGTCCAGGCCCAGTTTGGTAAACTCGTACTGGAGATGTACCCTGTAGTTCATGTCTTCCACGGAATGGACAATGATGTTGATGAACTGCATGCACGCCACCTGCAAAACGACCGCTAGTGAGTTTAAAGAACAATCTTAGGTGATGGTATAGAAAGTTGTATTCTAGTTGAAGAGCTGCAAGTTGTATCTAAAACATGAATATCCTTATTTAGTAACATATATTCAAATTCATCAGCTTATTGGTATTTAGTGGCTCAAGTCATTGCGACAGAATATGAAACCAAGGAAATGATGTCATTGGTTTGCGTCCCAGTAACGCTAATTTAATTTTATAAGTACAATTCATTTTTGTACTGCACTGGGTCACCCTTTGCTTTTGCTTGATATGTTCCATGGGCTTTGAGGTATGGACCTCAAAGCCCATGGAACATACCCAGTGCAACGGGTAAATGCAAGGTGCGTTTCCTCTGTAACGCACTTCTCTGTGACTACACTGAATAAATTGCAAAAAAACTTCAAAGCGGGTACAATTTGAAACTTGTTCTTACCATGAACTCAATGTGAAACACTTCATAGTTGATGAAGTACTCCATGAGTGTCTGGAAGCGTCTCTTCTCATGGCAGACCTCCTTGAAGTTGTCAAAGGCGGACAAGATGATCTCGTGTCCTCCTTTGACTAGACAGATGGCCGCCAACAGCTCCAGGACCAGAGCTTTTGTCCTGAAAAATAGCATAAGTTAGCCTTCCAGCAGTTGTGTTTTATGAATCTACCGATCTCTGTCAGTTAGAGTAAAACCGGACGCACACAACATCCACTATGACAAGACGATTTGTGTTTGGAATAAGTTTAAAATGGGGAACGAGTTGTGTTCTTTTGGTTTGATCTGATTTCAAAGGAGAGTTTTCAACTGAGTAAGAGGAGGTTATCGTGTGATTAGCAACATATACACAGAGAGCTGTCAGTAGCTATATAACGTTTGTCGTGAAACAAAAATATTCCAAATCTACATCAACAATAATACAAACTGTATCAGCAAACTAACACATACTTTCTACTATTAGTCTGTCAAGCCCCTTATAATAGGTAAACAGTGGGAGTAACTATGATACATTATGGGTAAAATCACAAATTGCAATAACTTTTGAACTGTAATTCTTACAGCATTGTGGTGGTTGTACCATTTTTTGTTTAGTGTAAGAAGAAGTTTAGAAGTGTATTGTAGTGTTCAATGTGGTTGGCGCCAAGCATAAGAGTGTACCATCATTGGATTTCCTTTGGATGCCAGGTTAGGAACCCACGATTGCATACATATTTACACTCATGTATGGAAGAAACTAGATATCTTTAACTCCAAGAACTATCTAGAGTATGTTTTAAGCATCAACTTTACTTGAATACACTGTTACATGGTTACATTTAAAGTGATTTTTATCCTAAATAATTTTTTTGCCGTGGAGCTAGTGAGATAAGTGGTAGTAAAGGAGCTTATTGAATGTCTTTTTACATTAATTTCTAAATAAAGTTTACTAAAATACCCGAGTAATATTACCAAATTACCTCAAGCTCTTATGTATCAGACTAAGGGCGATGCTGTTTATTGCTTCCGTGTGCTGAATCACCATATTGAATCCGTACTGAAACAAAAGAAATAAATTAAGCACACGAGTTTGTGCAGAATTACATAAGAGTTACAAACACACAGAACAAAATACAAAACTGAAATTAAAATTAAAGGAAAATTATCACTTGTTATTGGGGCAAACTTAAGTTTAACTTTTAAGACAAAATAAGTATACCTAAATGGTATCTATTTAGAGTGCCTATTTCTCATACCCATTTGTGGCTAAATTGTATTGCACTGACAAGTGTAACTTTGAGGTCTTCCTACATGCACGGGTTCAAATTACCTAGATATGCAATCCATATTGAGCTTACTAATGTGTGACTTAGCTGTCTGGAGTGGTGACTACCTTAAATAAACAGTGTCCAGCTTGGGTGGAAGTTTACAACATTAGAGAGATCAATAAGGATTGCACACAACACCTGTTTATTTCTTCTCATTTTTACATTAGTACATAGAGGTGGACACATTTTTCCCTTATTGACTTGTATTTTGATTTGAAATGGACATATCAACATATATTATTAAAGACATAACCTAAAGACTTATTATTAAAGACTGGGACGGGTGGCGTCGTCCTGTAATCCAGCTACTAGGAGGTCACAAATTGTTGATATTTATAGGGATGCACTGTGGATGCGATGCTCCCTGGTGTGGATTAACGTCCGCACTAGTGAGTACTAGGACTATCCGCAGTACTATCCCGATAACTAGACCAATTCAAAAATTACAAAAATGTCGTTCGGATTCCACCATAAACTGTAGGTCTCTTAGTTGCCATTAGCTGTATGGGCTATTAATTAACAGCTGTGTCTAAGGAACATGTCGGCCTTAGTCACTAACAAGACTAAAAGATCGCGCCACTCATCCTACACTCATCCTTCACTGATATTTGGGTTAAAATATGCACATAGTGGCGTCCCCATCTTAAATAATTGATAATTGATTAAAAAAATATGAATAGAAAAATTTTAAAAATATTGTGGTAGCAATACGTTATCATCTATGAGTTGAGTAAGCTTTACACATTCATCACTTCCAACACGACACCTGCTGCCTGGGAGTGTTTGAACTGAGAGTTGCTGACTGGACGCTCAGCAAACTGACCACAGACACTGCCACTTCTAGCAGTGTCTACAACCTACTACCAACCAGTAATACAGTGCAACACTGTATTCTTCATTACTCTACACAAATTTTTGACAACAGAAATAAATTTATTTATTTATTTAAATAGTTCTAATCCTGACATAAAGAACCAGCCAAACTTTTCAAAACTGATATAATTTTTTAACCTGAACCTCAAGATTCCTGACATAAAGAACCAGCCAAACTTTTCAAAACTGATATAATTTTTAACCTAAACCTCAAGATTCCTGACATAAAGAACCAGCCAAACTTTTCAAAACTGTTATAATTTTTAACCTAAACCTCAAGATTCCTGACATAAAGAACCAGCCAAACTTTTCAAAACTGATACAATTTTTAACCCGAACCTCAAGACTCCTGACATAAAGAACCAGCCAAACTTTTCAAAACTGTTATAATTTTTAACCTAAACCTCAAGATTCCTGACATAAAGAACCAGCCAAACTTTTCAAAACTGATACAATTTTACACCTGAACTTCAAGACTCCTGACATAAAGAACCAGCCAAACTTTTCAAAACTGATATAATTTTTAACCTGAACCTCAAGATTCCTGACATAAAGAACCAGCCAAACTTTTCAAAACTGATACAATTTTACACCTGAACTATGTCGAAGAACAAAAAAGTTTCAAAATATCCCTGTGGTGAATGCAACATCGGTGTAAAATACTCCAGTATAAAATGTACTGGTCCCTGCAACTCCTGGTTTCATGGTGGATGTGTCAATATCACAGAAAAACAATTAAAAAACCTTTCTAAAGAAGACATTTTCCTATGGAGGTGTAACAATTGTAGTGATCTTTCCCTCACCTCTGGAAAGCCAGCGTTACAACTAAAAGAAGACCAAACTCCCACACCCCCAAATCAAATATCCTCTGAAAGTCAGGGTAACAAAATGGGCGAGGTAGAAAACAAAATTCTAGAACTAGAAAACTCAGAAGATCCCGATTTAGAAACTTCTCTAACACTTGCAGCAGAAGTTGGAAACGCACTTCTAGCACAAAATAGCAAACTAAGAGAAGAAGTACTCAACAAAACTCGAGTCTGGCCCAGAAACTAACAAACATACAAACCATCGACATCATGAACTACCACGCTCAAATTGAACAACTAGAAGATGAGAAAAATACTATTCTAATTAGAAACAACGACCTAATCGAAACAATAACTGAACTAGAACACCAATTGGAAAAGGAAGTAAGCCTGAGAAACACTCTCACAAAAACATTTGAAGATTATGACAAAGACAGGGAAGAAACTTTTAATAGCTTCAACACAAAAATAAAGGACATGGAGAATGAAATTAAATGCCTTAAGCAAAAAAATACATGCAGCAGAATAAACACCGGAGAAGAATCTACAAAATAATTCAGAGAGACAAGCACACAGACAAACACTACAGAGGCGAAGGACCTCACAAACAAAACCACAGTTTCAGACAACAAAAATCCAGAAGCATCAAACACAGAAACACTAATTCTACTTGAACTAAAGGCCCTAAAAGAAAAACAGAATAATATGGAGTCAAAAATGAAGAAATTAGAAGATAAAATAACAGTAGAAGATTCCTAGCAACTAATAACTGAGAAAAAGGAGACTCCTTGCAAGCCAATTAACACACCAAGACGAGTTTCATATAATAAAAACAAATTGGCAACTACTAAGAAAACCCATTTCAGTGTTTCCTTGCAAATAGCAAAAAGCAAGTTGAGGAAAGAAGCACCAGAACACCAAAGTCAACCACAACAAACACAAAATCAAAATATTAAAAAACCCAAGGCCATCAAAATCCCAAAAGGAGTTTGCTCTACTTTCAAGGGCACTATATCTCCCCCAAAAGAATCAACTAAACCAAAGAACACAGGGAAACCCCCGATCACCGCCAAGCTTCTTAAGCCGGGAGAGACCATTGAAGACTCCTTTTGGAAAAATATAGACCTATATAAAAAGAATATTCTGTCACACATAAAGCGACTAAACATGACCGAGATGGACTGCCTCTCTTCTCAAGGAGAACAGAAACATGAGCAGCTGCAAGAACCCAATTCAAGTCAACAATCTAATCACTCTACAGTGCCCCATACTATAACCCCTTTTTTAGAAACAAACAGCCTGAAAAAAGCAAAAGAAAAATCTGCAAATCTCCAAATAATTCTTGTGCAGCAATAATGCACCAAAATATTAGAGGACTTGCTACAAAGACGAACAGACTACACCATATTCTCAATGACACAAAACCAAGCATTCTAGTCTTGACTGAACACGGACTGAAAAAAACAGAGCTAGAAGCTACAAAAATTCCCGGCTACTCTTTAATTACCCACTTTAGTAGAGAAGAACATAAACTTGGAGGTGTTGCAATATATTCCAAGGAATCCCTTGCTGATACAGTATCAGCTATTAACATATCAAACACATGCCAGGAGTTAATTTTCGAAGCAGCAATGATTCGCATGCAGACAACAAAGAAAAAGGATATCTCTACATTCTGGGAATCTATAGACCACCAATCGAAAATGCAAGAATTGCCCTTGACCTCCTATCAGACACGCTAGAACTACAAGAAGTACACAAGAAAAACCTAATACTTATCGGTGACATAAATATCGACAGGCTCACCCAAGATTCCAAAAACACCATGCTGGAAGAAGAGTTAACCACACAAAACATCTGGAGATTTCCTCTAGAGGCCTCCAGAATAACCCATCACACAGCCACTTCAATAGACTGTATATGCTCAAACATACCATGTGCGTATATTACTGGACAAGTTGTGCATACTGGTCTATCTGACCACACTGCGCAGCTGTGCCTGCTGAAAACACACCAAGAAGACACTTCCCAAAGATTTGTAATGAAAAGAAGCCTAAACAACACAAACCTAAACAATCTGAAGGCCCACCTCCATCTACAAAATTGGGAACATGTTTACTCTTCACCCAATCTTGAAACCTCCTACAACAAATTTCATAATATTCTTCAAAAAGCACTGGATTATACATGCCCATTAAAGAAAACTAAAATTATTAAAAACAAAAAACATATGAAGTACTACGATCCTGAAGCAAAATACCTTAAAGAGAACTTTTTGAAAGCTCTGCAAAAGTTTGAGTTAACGAACAGAAATGAAGACAAATTAGAAATGATTAATAGAAAAAGGACATACAACATGAAACTAAGAAACCTAAAAATGTCCTCAACAGCTAGCTTCATAGAACAAGCTGACAACAAACCAAAAGCACTATGGCAAGTTATAAACAAGGAAAGGAAAGGAAAATGTGAAGAGAAAACCCTTGCAGAATTAGAAATAAATGGCAAACTCACAAACAACACAAAAGAAATGGCCGAACACTTCAACACATTCTTCTCAAATATAGCAGAAAATACCCTTGACCAAAACAGAGCAATCGTTATAGACCCTGAAACAGTGCTGAGTGGAGAGGAACCAGTCTGCCCAATACACCTTACCCTAACTTCAACATCCTATAAAGAAGTTAAAACGATAATAAACTCCCTAAAAGCCAAAACATCAAGTGGAATATATGAGTTTTCCTCTAAGATGATAAAGCACTGCTCTCAAGAACTCATCTCTCCTCTGGTTTATCTTATAAATAAATCATTTAAAGAAGGCAAATTCCCATCCGCCATAAAAGTCAGTAAAATATACCCCAAACATAAAAAAGACCAACTGAAAATGCTCAAAACTACAGGCCCATTTCTCTCATCTCCAGTTTCTCTAAAATCATATAAAAAATTGCTCTGGCTAGATTAATGGCACATCTTAATCATAACAAACTCTTAACTGACAACCAACATGGCTTTCGGAAGAATAAATCTACATCCTCAGCTATAACAGCACTAATTGAGTACGTCCTAGACCAGATAGAAAACGAACAATACATTTCCGCCATCTTCCTTGATTACAGTAAGGCTTTTGACTGCCTGGGCCACGACCTGATAGGCAAGAAACTTGAAAGACTCGGTATAAGAAACTCTGCGCTAGAATGGTTCAAAAGCTACCTAACGGGACGTTCACAAGTCGTGGAACTGAAAAACTCATCAAATGAAGTCACAGAAAGTTTCAAATCTTCAAAAAGCAAGCTGACGAGAGGAGTTCCACAAGGCTCTGTATTAGGCCCGATTCTATTCATCTTATTGACTAATGACTTCCCCAAACAAATTGAGAGTGAAAATGCTGTTGCAATCATGTATGCAGATGACACAACCATTTTGATCAAGGACAACACAGCCCAAAGCCTTTACCTTAATTCAAAATCGATCTTAAATAAAGCTATCCTCTACTCAAAGAACAATGACTTAGCAATAAACCCCACAAAAACTACAACTCTGAATTTCAGTAAGAAAAAAGACATAGTCCCTCAATTAGAGGATGTAACATTAGAAAACTACACAAAATTTCTCGGTGTTATCCTTGATAACAAACTAACATGGAAAGAGCACATCAACCACCTAAGCAAAAAAATCAGTACTGGAATATATGTCGTCAGAAGGATAAACTACATAGGCGGACTCTCTGTGGCCAAAACAGCTTACTTCGCACTGGTAGAGTCGCATCATGGCTTGACAGTGTGGGGAGGAACTTCAACAAAAAATATGAATCAAATTCTTGTCCTTCAAAAGAAAGCCATAAGAGCCCTCGCCAACCTTGTACCACCACAGACTTGCAGACTAGCATTCGTAAACCTAGGAATCCTCACAGTGGTGTCTCTCTACATACTTGAAACCATTAAGTATGTGAATGAAATAAACCCCCCAAGAAACCAAGACCTGCACCACTACAACACCCGTCACGGCTCCAAATTTGCACTACCAGTTCACCGAACAACTCTTTGGGAGAAAAAACCTTCCTACACCGGCTGCAAGCTGAGGAACCATCTACCTGACTACCTGAGAGACCTGACTGGCAACAAGCTACACCAGGAGCTGAAGAAGTGGCTAATCGCAAGACCCTTCTACTCAATATAGGAATTTTATGAAAATTAACATGTACAATTCACTATTGTATTGACACTATTGTAATTCTTGACGAATTAACAATAAAGAATATTGTATTGTATTGTATTGTATTGTATTGATTTGGGTACCTTGTTGTTCATGATTGCCCGCAGACACATGATGCAGACGTGAATGTCATCTCGAGGGTCGCCCATCCGTAGTCTGGCTGCGTGACGCGAGCGTTTCCGCACGTCGGGGGAGTCGAGTGGCTCGAGCGGCGTCCGACAGTGGCTGCTGGGTAGAGTGGCTGACAGGAGAGAACACACCCCAGCACCGGCACTGCCTGTACAACGCAAAGTAATATTAGCAAGCAGCGCCCACTATATCCGTTATCTAACATGTTGGCTTTGGATAAGGAATCTACAGAGTGAGCCTATACCGAAATTTTCTTATTCTGACAGTTCTGTTACCGAAAGAGAATGGAAACCATAAGGTAAGCTGCTATGATCATAATAGACTGTTGCGTCTTGAGCTTTGGGAGATGACCACGTTGTGTTGGGTGGAAACACCAACCAATGTTTGGGTTAAATTTTAAACATCCGCCTTTGAGTTAGTCTAAAATCTTTACCAACAACTGTTTTTTTTTTTTAACTAGCCTTCTCAATTAAATTTATTAAATTAAAAAAATTCACTTGACCGCATTGTTTACTACTTGACATTTTTTAAATCTGTCAATGAACCTAACTGCAACTATTGGTTAGCAAATCGTTTATTTCAATTTTCAGGTGAGTTTTAGGTTAACTACATTAATTGTGGTCAAAAGTGGTTATGGAATGCCCAAGTTTCCAGCGGTAGTCAGCAGATGAACGAATGAATTGGTCGTTACCAGCAATAAGTTTGCATTCCAAACATTACAATTTTCTTTTCACTCAAACCTTGAATCCCATTGGTCGGTTACTTTACCACACTAGTGCTGTAAAGTAAGTTAAAAGTGCAGTAAAGTAAATCTTTACAATTCAAAAAATTAAATTAAAAAGGCTAGTTTAAACACGGTTGTAGGTAAAGGTGTGCATTACTCAACATTTATCTTGATCCCTTTATCGTTACTAACTGTTATTTAGCAATCACAAAACAGTCAGTCGATATTTACCGTTGATAGAAGCGTTGATTCTCTCCTCGGATGGCGATCGGGACTCTTGCTCGTGCCGTAACATGATTAGTCGGAAGCTCAGGTAGTCCACAAGTGAGTTCAGTCCTTGATTGTGTTCGTTGAGGAACTCTCGCACCCATCTACAACAGCAAAACATTACTGACCACTGACCAAAACTAAAACTGCTCGCCTTCAATCTGTAGGTTATTGGTTTGATCCCAAATTAAGTCAAATCTGAGCCTTGATGTCATTTGCTAGAAGATGACAGAGGTGTTATTCTAATTCTTTTTGGGAAAGCAGTCCAAACGAGATGTTAACCACTAGGCTAGCACCACACCCAAATCATTGGGTCATTGGGTTATGAAACATTATCTAATAAAAGTTCAAGATTATATAGTAACAATACCATATTTTGGACCACTCCATAAAATTGGTATAAATGCCAATTTTGGTAAACAAACGGAACATGTTCACAAACAGTTTAACCCTGGAAAGCTTAAGACTAAAACTTGTTTCCAAAGCTCTTTTTGGAGTAATACTAATACTTTCAAACAAAATAAGGTTACCTTAGAACTTATAGTTGTGTGGATTTAATAACAGCAGTGTTACAATTTTGAAAGAATTTTACTGTCGCTCAAAGCATACATTTTAAAATTAAAATAACATTTTATCTTCTGAAGTAAAATGTCTAGATTAGAATGAGTACATTTAACCCAAAACTTAATGTAATAACAAATAACCCGATAAAGGCCGCGATATACCATAAGGTTAGTTTTTGAGTGTCCGTACAGTTTCATAAAAATAATAATTTAAACACAAACAGAACTTATTTGTAAGTTATTTCATTTATCCTAGTCTAAGAGTTGACTTTCTATCCACTTTTAAACTAAAAAGAAAATAATAGATTTTTGGTTTGAAAACAAAACTGTTACTTATGTTAAAATTAAGTATGTGTAAAGAAAAACTAAAATAATATCCACATCTTAATTTGAATAATATGAATGGGAAAATTAATAAAGACGTCTTTCATAATAACAGCAACTTGTACTATTAAGTTTATTGGTGTATAAAAACAAACTGCCATGTTTTCAAACTTTAAAGACCAATCTTATTCGCAATATCTAATCTCTATGGCCATTTTGCACACCACTTAACATTTTATAACACAGTCAGACTCATTCTGTCCTAACATAAATTTAGTTGTGACTTCATACTTCATATCCGCTTACTGACATTCTAATCTTATGCAAACATGAATATATTTTCTTGGTGGGAAATAACTAAATTCATTGTATCAAAGTGGGTAAAAATTGCCATTTAAAAAATAATAAATATTGAACCCAACTCAATACTGATGAATGTATCATTCATAAATCAAATTTAAAACATCCAGTAAACTCTACAAAATTAAATTTTAACAGTATAAAATGCCTTAATTTTAAGCCAAAAAGTCAATTCATTCAAAAGCAAAAAAAAACTTTATTAAATACTGACACATATATAAACTCAGAAAGAAACATGTTTGCTATAACGGAAGCTTTTTTTACAGTGTGTTTTAAAGCGATAAAATATGACTAAAAGTTACATTATTAGTACAAGCTCAATTTCTTGAACATATTTGAAATTTTTTAATATTTTTTTTTTTTTAATAAGTTTAATAGATAAATCTTTGTCAATTTATTTAGCTGTAGAGAATAAGAAAAACATCACAACTTTCACAACGAACATCCTGAAAACATATCATTTTTCACAATCACACTCATGAAAATTTTTGACAATCAAAGTCAGAACTCGGGTGTCTTGAGCGTATTTACTTAATTTTTAGTTATACAACAATCGGGCTAGCGATAATTACTTCCACTTATTCGTGGTAACCAGTAAATTCCACTATGGATGGAAGAATTGCCAACAAGGAGGGGAGTTGTGTCAGTTACGGCCCATTGAACGAGTAAGCTGTTATGTAGGCTCAACGTTGTAAATACCTGGATTATGGATTAAAGAATTAGCTTGTATTTGACCAGGTTTAAGTCATGATTGTACAAGATTTAAAGAATAACTCTTCTTATACTCACTCTATGTGGTTAGTCCTCAGAGAAATTTCCAAATCTTTCAGGACTTGTGTCGATGTTGCGTCCCCAACTATCTTTCGTTTCTGCAACAGTAAAAACTGAGTTATTTGTAGTTTATAAAACGGCTTTCCAACTAGGAACAAACATAGAGTACAGCAAAAGCTTGGAAATGGTTAAATATAAGCTATAATTAAGTTACTACTGGCTTTACTGTCATAAATGAATCTGAAATAGTGTAACTTTTAATAAATTCTGTGACTGAAATATTTCACATCGGGGATCCTAAAAGACAAATTTAGTTAGTTTATTTACTTAGTACTATTGACTATTATTAGATAAAAAGTAAATTCATATGAAAGAAAAACATCTACTGTGCCAGTAGTTAACGACATTTTACATCAAAATCTAACATGTCATTCAACCTCACAAATTTGGTTGTCACTCTTCCCTCTAAATGCTTTAAAAAGAACATTACAGTATATGTCAACTTGTTTAAGTCTGTTCACAAAATTAAGGCGATTTAAGGGGAACATTGGCTGGGTTCCCCCACCACTTTTTAAGCTTGATTTATATCAGCTGATCAGCTGTCAGCTGTTGTTTCAAAGTTGGAGTGAGATGGAGGGGATGGAATCTTTTTCACTTCCCCTCAAACGGCCTAAATTTTGTGAACGGAGTATAAAGGTTAAATCAAATTTTATTCATGTAAATACATATTTAAAACAATGAATTAACCTCACCAAGTATTCATCTTGGGCACGTTTTTCACGTTAACAATTAGTAGTTCAATTAACTTCATCATGTTTTTCAGAAAAAATGTAACTTTATACTGTAAAAATTAATGTTGTGGATCCAGTGATCCACACATCAATATCAGAGTTTCATTTACGTCAATGACTTTGATGGACAGAAGACACTCTGTTGTAAAGACTGTCAAAATATTTATAAACAGGTCATGAACAGACCCTGAAGCGTTAGGTTACATGATTCAGATCTCACATTAACTTGGCTGAATCAGTCAATTAAATGGCTAATTGGCACAATTAGATGAAACAGTAGAAACGGTTGTGCATCCTACTGTTCCATCTCCGTTTCTCTATTTCTAAATGGTGTGAGAAGTCATTTACAGTTGCTACTAACCAGATGTGGATCATTAATCTGCTTTTTGTTAACTCCAACAAGAGTAGAGATAAGTAAATATTTTAAAACACATGACAAATGTCAGTCATATAAATTAGGACGGTAAATATGAATTTAAAATAAAATATGAGATTTTAATGAGTAAGAAATTACTAGTGGAATAAAAATTAGCTATTTCAGGACTAGGATTTTAAACCAGTTTGTGTCAGACGTCTGTATAAAATCTGGAGGATGAATCCTTAGAAATGTGTTCAATTCATTGTTAAAAATTGGAAAGAGCTAGTCAGCTTAAAGGTATTGAAGTTGGCAAAAAAATATTATTATTTTGTATTCTTTGTTCTAGTATAATTTATAATTTATAGTTTTTTTTTTTTATACAATTCAACCTATATGGTTCTAAATTATGTCTGTCTACTACGATATATTTTCACTTTAATAATTTTAATATATTAGTCTGCAAGAATATTTGTACTTAGTTACAAAAAAGGCTTAAATTTGTTTTTCAAATTAATAATTTTTACCAAAAATTGCTTATTTAAAGATGTTAACCTATCTTTATAAGGTTATCAATGTTTTATAGGCATAGTTACCATAATTTACAGGGACTTGCACTTACTTTGTAAAAATAAAACAAATTTCAAAAAGTTTTTAAACATGCTTTGCACAATTTTAAAACTTTCTAATTCTACAAGATAATTATATTTTTTTCTCACACTAAGCCTTTCTGGAACGATTCAATCAACGAGCGAGTCTCGCCTTCCTCCTTAGGCCGGGGTCACACTTGTAATTTTTAACCAGCGAGACTGTTTTTTCCGTTTTCACGTGCGACGCACGTGAAACAGTTTGACCGGGGCCACACTCGTCTTCCGAGATAGGTTTTTCGGGCAAACCAGTGACACTGATAGAGCATGCCACACTGGCAATAAAAATCGTCCGTGTCCGTGTTCCGCCCCCTCCCCTCCACGCTCACTGTACAGTATAGAAACGTCCGTGGAAAAAATTCAGCGAGATAAGATGAGTGTGTTCACTCCCATAAGCCGCAATGCCCCGCGACTAGTTTTACGTGCAACGCCCGTGGAATGTTAGTAGAGAATACACGTGCAATTCCGTTTGTCAGTCTCGCTGGTAAAACCAGCGAGACTGACAAACGCGTTCACGGACGTTTTTACTCTAGTGTGGCCTGCCCCATATACCGTAATGTATCTCTCAAACCCACGGGTAACGCCCGTGAAAAAAATTCAGTGAGATAAGATGAGTGTGGCCCCGGCCTTACAGGGGTCAAGAGAGGGAGGAACAATGAACATGTATCTGCCAAGAGCAGGGATCATCCCCTAGACACTAGGGTGGTTCCCCTAGTTTCCCCTGGTTCCCCTGTTTGGCACATAATGTCCCCCAGCATTGATTCCTCTTTCATGGGCATTACTCTTCAATCACGACTCTTTGTACTTCTGCTTTAAGACGCAGTCAAGATGAGGAGAATTTTCAGTGTATAAGTGTCTTAGTTCAGTGTTTTATTTTGTAGTACCAGTTTAATTTTTTTTTTTTTTTTTTCTACAACGCTAGGCACAGGTCTGGAATTGTTTATCACGTTACATCAGGCTAGACGTAGGGGTTGAGGCATTATCACTTTGATAAAATCCATTGCCGATTCAGCTGGATTTGAACCCAGGACCTCAGAAACCAAAGTCCTGCGCTCTAACCACTAGACCAGCTTGCTCCCACCAGTAACAAGAAAAAGTTAAATTTGGAGGGCAAATTAAGGAACATTTCTTACTAAGAACGCTTCGGTCACACCATTAGTTAGAGCGGCTTCATTATGGTTTTGTGATTCAAATTTCAGTATGGTGTAAATGGGAGCCTTATCCTTATGTAAATACAGACATGTTTACAAGTAGCCTATCTATTTGTAGGTTATCACCTAATATTGAAAAATAAATATATTTCTGACCTATCTTAAGTTTTTTACCAGTCACAAAGTATCCGGGAAATAAATATTGATATTTTTGGGAGAGATAAAGATTCATTCAAACTAATCTTTTGTTCTAACTCTAACCTTTACTTAAAACTGTTGTAGCTTTAACATGGTTGATGTGTATTGTGAATTCTTTAAAGACTAAATTTGTCATGTTAGGTATTTACAATAATACAAGCCTAAAAAAAAACTTTTAAAAATTGTATAAGGTCTATTAGACTAGGCCCCTGTTGGAACATACAGAGTACCGATTCACAATAAAAGAGGTGACTTGTCAGGTAGTATCCATATTAGTTGTACAGTGCAACTTTCCAAATAATACATCATTTAAAATTACTGTCCTCTCAACCTATGTAAAGTAAATAGAGAAATACAAATAAAAATGATCCACGTATCTAATCTAAATCAGCCCAGCTTCATCTGGGTTTTAGAATCGAGCCATCCCAAGTGGTAATGAATGGCGAGCCCGTAAGGGATATTCATTACCATTATGTTTCACCTGATATTGTGTCTGACTGTCAAGAGTGTTCGAGCCTATTGAGAGTCAACTTAATACACAAGACATTCCATTAGACTCACCCTAGAGCTCCGAGATGCCGTAGGGTCCAAGTATGTCCGCAGTTTGTTGAGATAGTGGGCCGGTGGGTCCTTGGCTTGTACTCTCTCCTGCAACAACAAAAGAGAGGTTAGACAAATGACACCTCACAAAATAGTCTGAATACCAAGATGGTCCGGTTGTGGTTGCAAGGGAGGAGGCTACAGGGGCTAAAGCCAACCTTGGACCATGGAAAAATACATTTTATCCTAGAAATGTAACTGAGGTTTTTTGTTACAGTTCATGACGTTAAAATGGCTTTGGAAAGTCACAAAACTGAGTTTAAAATACCAAATCTTACCCAGAAGGACCCAAGACACCCCTGCATTCTTAGGGGTTCGGGAACCCCCCTAGTATCCCCCCCCCCCCTTGACAAGGTCCTAGGTCCTAGGCCCATTATCAAAACTACCACTGATGGTCAGTAGTGTAATTTTCATATTCTGAAAACAATTTTTAAACATAATGACATTGACTCAACAGATCATAGTAAAATCCAATGGTTATTAGTCTCTTGAAATATATAAGGTTAATAATACATGCAATACTGTCAAGTGATTTTTTTTCTTTTTCTCGCAAGTCAACCACTAGTTTAACAGCTAAAGGTTTTACGTTTGAGCTGAACACCAAGTTATTAAACCAAATTCCTTTACATTATATTGGCTCAAATTTCCACAACCCATATGGATGTGTGTTGAAGTAGAATTTCAGAAATAACTTACTAAAAGGACCTTAAGAATTAGAATATTTTCAAAACCACATCACTACACAATAACAGAATTATTGACTAGAACAACAACAGCATTTTCTAATCTTGTTCCTCGTAGCGATAGAGTTGGAGAAAGTGCATACCGATATTGAAATATTAGTTGTTGGCGTGGTAATGCAATTGTGTTCTGTATTGTACTTTCACTGTCCTCCACCGACAACCAGGAAACACACTCAACCTGAGGCAGTGACAGAAATAAGCGGCTATGTTGTTAAATACCCGTAAATAGCGAGGAAACTGATTAACAAATTAATGTGTACTTATACTTCATTGACTACCTTTGACCTAAAAACTAGTGGTCAAAGAGTATCAGCAAAACTCTGATCTTATTTGGTGGAAATCTTAAATTTACTACTGATTGAACAGTGAACACCCTAAACTATCAAATATTTTATAACTACATATGCTTAATTTCTGATTTAACCACACAAGTTAATTTATGTGGGCGGCTATGAGAAAAAACAAACGCTATTAATCATAAACTGTTTAAAACCCCCAAGTCACAAATTTGTGCTTTGAATTAAACCAGCTGGAAAGAAGAGGAGCTCCTCTTTTTTCAATTGAGTCCTTTAAACAAACAATAATAATTGTAAGACACTTGAAAACCCTACTATCTGTCACTTTAATGTTTCCCTAGTCCAACAACGTCAATTTATAATACAGTACTAGAGATAGTTTGATCAACATGAAGTATCAGAGGCATATCACATTACTAAAGACTTTTTTAACATCCTTAATTTCAACTCAAATATATGTTAACATGAATTTAAGCCAAAATCAGTCTGCTTTACTAAGTCAAGGGTGTGCCAGTCACACACACTTATTACAGTGCAAAAGTTGAGAATGGTTCACAGATGAGATAACAGAGGTGTGTTGTTCTCTGGTAATGAGCCTGGTATATGCGGCCAGTGTCTAGTGTCTGGCTACTTCTGCCCACTGGCCAGACATTTCCGCAGACAATGTCTGGTGTTTGTTTAAATCTCTGATCCCCAGCCTCTCTGTCCATCACACCCAATTAAAATACAGGCTTTGAGTATGTTTTGTAAAACACAGGCGTGATTTCACTAAATTACCTTCCAAAATCAAGACGATTGCTTTAATTAGTTAAATAAAATTTGGCAAACTGTAAAGAGATCAATATGTGTGTTCGTAAAAACAATAACTTGAGTAATTTTGGTCAATTCTTTATGGATTTTGGCATGAAGAAAAAGAGAGGTATAAACTTGAATAAGTTCGCAAACCAGCAAGATCCGATGGTGGAAACGGGTTGTTATGGGGAATGGCCCATTTTCAATACAACCATTCTTGTAGAGCTTAAAAACAAACAATTTTGTACATTGAATCTTTGATGCTCAATCAATTGTTATGGAGCAAAATTCCCCAAAAAAACTGGACATTTAAAAGTCTTTTGTTATTCTTATGAGAAAAAAGTAAACTGTTGTAGTTTTCTTGTTGATGGTTACATTTTTATCAAATTTGATACAATGATTTACTACAATTTATTAAATATTATTAAAATCCTATATATTAAAACGAAACAGGGTTTTTTTTATTTCACGATTCTGAATCAACCACTTGACGGATTTTTATGATTTTTGTGTTGAAAGAAAGATAATTTTGAGAAGTAGGGAATGTTGAAGCCATAATTTTAGTTTAGGGTTTCAGTTTTTTAGAAATTAAGTTTTAATTTTCAAAAAGTCTAGCAGCCGACGGACGAGTTAAAGTCGTTTTAGTGGTGGTTTAACTAACAGCCGGTTTCTAACTGTCATTGAAATGTTTATGTTACAAGTTGTTTGTATACAAAAATATTGATCGTCAGAGTTTGCCTACACACTATTTTACTTTAAAATGCAGTTTATTTTCTACCGTAAAAGATCTATATGTTATCAGGATATTGTGTAATTTTGAACTACACATTTTAAACGTATAATCAAGTTTTTTCATTAATGCAATCCGTCTAGCCTAAGTGTAAGTGCTTAATCCTTTAGGATATAAGTGGTTTACGTGTTGATACATCTTTTTCTAGATGTATGAATATAAGTATGACTGCATACAGTACACATTTTATTCGTAATGAAAATGTCAACCGGTGTAGTAGGTCTCCAGAAAACTGACCAGTAAGCTGCAGGGTGTCAGTAGAAACCAAAATCGATTCATACCATATCATAACTATCCCAGTAGTACTGTATGATTCAGAAAATTAAAAAAGTGGTACATTCCAAAACTAGACCAAAAGGCTTGGATCTCGGATGGGCTGGGCAGGCTTTGCATGGCGGAGAGAAGATACTTCAACTTTTAAAAGTGTATTCCAAGGAGTACTACAAGGTAGACGACCACTTGGAAGACCAAGTAATGAAAGACATCTTCAGAATGGTATCTTACTGTCTTCCTGTCATCTAGAAATGGCAGGGGATAGAAGAGAACGGGAGGCCAGGATCATTTTAGAGGTTTTAGTGGCCAAGGTGGTAAAATAAGGTACGGTAAGTGATAGTAGGCCTATGCAGTGGAAGGTGGTATGTAGCTACTGTACTCAAAGCCAGTGTGTGTGAATCGGCCACCAAGTTGTAAACTAGCTGTTCTGAATCATATTCAGTTTTAATTGACTACTCGATTCCCGTACGTAGGACGGGCCAACATCTCGTTTTACTAAAAAAGAAAAACACTTTTAACTTCCCTGAATTGGTGAACCTGAGTAATTTGTTAAATATTTAATATCTCTATTAAATATCTCATTCAATAGAGATTAGTTCTGACATATTTAATCAAATATTTTAGTAAAAACCAATCAGGCAAATGAATATTCGCTAAGTCTGCGAATTTTGCTGCGGCAGGGGTTTTTACAACTCATATGCATCCGAATATTCCAATATTTCATCGTATTTATGACAAACTTCAACAAAGTTTTCACAATTAGTCAAACTGGTGATATTCGTCCACTCAACATTGAGGAGTTGGAGGACTCGCAACATTCTAGGCCTCCACTTGTCTATACCACTTGTGTCAAGTGTCTGAGTCACATTCTCATATCAAAACTGACACTAACACTGCACAAGTGACTCACTGAGGTTAAAACTGTATCGTGACAAATACCAATAACAGTCAACAGCCTTACTGGGAAATTATCACGTGTAGATTTTCCAATGCCGGAACGATTTCTACAATCTCGGGAAAAACACAGGTTGCCTATTATATATAGGATAGTTTTAACAAGCAGATGCGTTCTGCTCCACTACACTACTGGAAATACAGTTTCACAATGTTTATCAAGCAAGATCATATTTAGATGGACCAGTTAACTGTAAATCATCATTATAATTTTTCATGGTTGGTATCCCAGAGGTTATGATAAAGAGTGTTCACCTTCTAATTAAATATTCTCGCTGCAGCATACCTACGGACTAAGACAATTTCCTTTAGCCTGATGGTATTACTTATTAAATAAATTTCCCAAATTAGATCAAAATATATCCATAAAAATGCAAGCTACAACAGTATACATACTCCCCATACGACATAGAAAGTTTAAAATTTAGGGGTTTTGGATTTTATTTTGTTTAAATTAACCATACAAAAACGCTGAGTGAAAAAAATTTGTTGTTTTTTAAGCTCTATAAAATGGTTTAGAAAGAAATTTCTAAAAATATAATTTTTTGAGGGCCAAATAGAAAAAAAACACACACAAATGAACTTGAAGGGATAGGCTACTGTTTCTGGAAATATAAAAATTTAAAAGAACTGTAGTAGGTATTTCAAAATGGAGTGATTATGGGTTTGAGTTCATGTTTGTAACATACTAAATCTATCTTTGTTTGAAAATGATAGTTAGCAATAATAATCAAATAGACCTACGTTTATAAAAAATATAAAATCATTGATCATATAATTTTGAAATTCCGATGTTTGAACTTCTTCATTAAAACTAACTATATTGAGCTAAAAAAGTGTTTCCTATTAATTCTTTTTCATCCAAGACTTAAAAAAATAATATTCCAACTGCTGATACCTGCCCAAAATAAGCATTTATCAATAGCAGAATCATACAGAACTATTTTAACTTATTCCTAAGTTTCCCAAAGCTACAAAGATAATCTCACATTCTACACTAGTCCTTCACTCATATTTTGGTTACACACCTAGGTGGTGTCCCCATCTCAATTGATAATTGCTCCATTCTAATCGAGTACACTTGAACCACAATAGTCATGAAATGAGGGCATTAAATAAAAATAAACATTGTGAAGTGCACCAAAGTACAAGAGGAAGACAGATAGCCTATGAGTCATTGGAGTTATCACCTATCAGCTG